CCGTGGCAGAAATGGTCACCACGTCCGTGAGGAAGCAGATGAGGCCGCTGTCCCGCGGCTGAAATGGTCACCATGTCCGTGAGGAAGCAGACAAAGCTGTTGTTCCACAGCAGAGTACTTCCATGCTGAAATGGTCGCCTGTCAGAGTGGCAGTTTTTAGACACACAGAACCAGTCCTCCAAGAGACTGTGTGGTCATCCAATGTGTGATGATGCAGAAGTCTCCTAGTGGACTGGGAGTGAGGACTCTTCACTGTGGACACCCACGGCACCACTGGGCAGGGCCTGCACCTCCAAGGAGCTGGACACCTGTGCTCTAAAGAACCCTCACTACAGCAGACAAGCAGCTGCCTGCTACTGACAGCACATTTCTCTCAAGAACAGCAGAGTTCTGATTTGAAAGTCCACAACTGCTGTAATTCATGACTGGTCCTCCAGCACTTCTGTCATTCATAAAGGTCCTGCTCCATTATCTCCTGGATAACTCCTCACCATCCTCCTCTATATTGCTGATTTCTAACATATATTTAGAAATAACAATGTTCATTACAGTAAATTAAATGGGAGAAGAATGAAATTTGATGCTTTAAGTCTTGAAAATAAATGTATTATAATTAAGCGAACAAAATACAAAAACCTATTTAAAAACAAACCTTTATCGCACTGTGAATTCACTTCCTGTATCTTCATTCTCCAAGTCAAAGCTTTTTCACGGCTTGAAAAAAATCTATGATGATGCTTCCAACACAACGTATTTCAAAAGCCAGAATGAAGCTAAATGTAAGCACAGCCTCATCTGGTTCATGTCTCCTCGATTATTGAAATAAAAGATAATACCCAAAGAAGCCAAATGAACCCAGCACTAGGGAAGAGATGAATAACACACGTCCAACTTTGGAGGTCATCTGTGTCTGAGCAGCATTCACTGTGCCTGCTGTCCCCAGGCCCAGTGTCTCTGTCCTCCTCCCATGGGGTGTGCACGTGGAGCCACCCCGACGCTTAGGCAGGTGCGGCCACAGCACGGGGTGTGGTGTGAAGTGTTGGGAGCGGATTGTCCTGGTCAAAATACTGGGTTCACTTGAGATAACATGACATTTAGATGGTGAAGAGGGAGGAAAAATGGCATCCAGACAGAGGAACCAGGCAGCTCTGGAGTCCAACTCCCAGCTCACAGCCCATGCAGAGGGAGGAGGAAGGCCCTGCACTCTGCGTCCTCATCCATCAGATGTTCTCACTGAGCCTGTGAGAACACACAGGGACACAGGGAAAGGCCAATGCATTCCAGAGACTCAGTAAACGTTAGCAGCCCTGACACTCAAAAAATTTCACAGCAGACTCTAGCAAGCACCTGGGGTGACTCGGCGCCACGGTCTGGACATTGGTCTCCCACAGAATTCATCAGTGTCCATTGCAATGGCACTGAGAGGTGATTCGGTCCTGAGAGAGGAGCCTGCATGAATGGGCTGAATGCCCTTGTGAGGGAGGTTTCAGGGAGCTTGTCTTCCCTTCCTTCCACCATGTGAGTACACAGCAGGAAGGCCCCGCCTCTTAAGCAGAAAGCTCTCACAAGACGCTCATCTGCCGGCGCCTTGATCTCACACTTGCCAGCCTCCAGAACTGAGCAATACACTTCTGTTGCTTGTCAATGTCCCAGGATGGGCATCTTGTTAAAGCAGCCCCAAAAGACTGAGACTCTGCATGGAGGAACTCACGCACACCAGCCTGCCTGCGGGATTTTAAATACGCGTCACTCTACCTGTGGGAACACAGCGTGTCATGGGGAGACTAGGACACCTCGCAGCTTTCAGTCCCAACTTGCTGACTACATGGGAAGCTAAACAAGTTGATGCAACCTTTCTATTTCTCCATTTTATGCATCTTCAAACTCCTCACAAAACCAAAAGTTTTACCTAACAATATGTGAGAATGGATAATTCCAGTGTAGATGCAGCCTTCTCTAATCCACTAGGGCAGGATGGCTGGTCCCATCCCTACTCTCTGGCAGTGATTTCACGTCATTTTATGGTGCTTAGAATAGTCAGCCTTGTGCAGATGTTATTCCACCCATGACTACCACCTTCTGCCTTCTAATTTCTGTGAAAACTGAAACCATATCTAACTCAGCTTCTGATCTGCTGCTGGAAGTGGAGAAATTCTTGTGCATCCATCCCTAAAACTCACAGGAACAAGAATTGTGTGAGAATAGCTGCATATGGAACTTAAGAGTTTTCTAAAATAGTACCCATCAGCCTGCATAAATTCATATTTCAAAAATAAGAAAAATAGCTTTCATTTAATGGACTTAGCACATGCTAAGAGATTTACATGCATTTAACCCCTTAACAGAGAACAGCTTTATATATGCAAAAGGTTAGAAACTCTTCTATTACAAAATGGAAACACAGAAGAAAGGAAGCAAAATTACAAGATCACACCAAATAATATCATATCATTTTCTAAAATAATTCTCTTGAAAATATGAGAAAATTGGTTAGCTAAAAAGAATTATCTTTACCATTATCTTAAAATTAGCATGTTATTTTTTAAGTTATAATTTAGAAAGCATTGAAAACTCCAAAATTATATTTTGCATTTGCAACCTAAACATCTGAAACAATTTTAAACAAATTTGGGAACTAAACTGAAAAAAAAATCTCAGACTGAGATCTAATAGGCCAAGTTTTAATCTAGGCCAAGGTTTATGGCTCTGTCATAAACTCAGAAAGAAAAGAACAAAATGAGAAAGAAAATAGAGATTTATAATGGAAATGCTGACAGACCATTTTCCAAACATCAAAAATAAATTACAATTGGCTTTGAAATGACCACCTTTAGTAAGAGTCATGAACAACCAATACAAAAATTAAATGAACTAAGAAATATTTTTCTAACAATTGACAATGTTTGACACCAGAAGCACCAAGTGTCAAAAAGCACGGTTAGAAATACATTTTAAATAAAAAGTTGGCTGGGCACAGTGGCTCACACCTGTAATCCCAGCACTTTGGGAGGCCAAGGCAGGTAGATTGCCTGAGGTCAGAAGTTTGAGACCAGCCTGGCCAACATGGTGAAACCCCCTCTCTACTAAAAATAGAAAAGGCAGCCCAGTGTGGTGGCACACACATGTAATCCCAGCTACTTGGGAGGCTGAGGCAGGAGAACTGCTTGAACTCAGAAGGCAGAGGTTACAGTGAGCCGAGATTGCACTCCAGCCTGAGCAACAGAGCAACAGAGCAAGACTCCATCTCAAAATAAGAAGAAGATGATAATGGGTACTAGGCTAACAATAATTTTAAAAGTTAATATCTCAATTATTAAATTCATTTAAAAGCCCAGAAATATATAAAATCTAATAATCAAATGTTTGCCTAATCTTGACAGATCTTAACTGCAAAATTAGTAGCATCAAATCATGGCTCTCAAACACAAACAGTGCTGCCTTTCTTGCCATAAATTACCTAATTTATTTCTTTTTCTTCACAGCTTTTCCAGAAAAAAATAGAAACATAGAGCATTACACATAGCACTGATTTGACTGGTACACACTTTGTTTTTGAAGTACGCCATTTTAATAGCCTCATAAAGAAGTTACAGATTCTTCAAAGGGATTCCTTCATTCATCTCGGAGACCTACTGCACAATGTTTAAAAACATGTTTGCTCTGGTTTATATGCAGGAAGAGTCTAAACAAAAAGAGAATATGTAGAAAAATAATCTTCTCTCCAACAACTCTCCCCAAGCTGGTATTTCCATGGTGTTATTCAAACCAGAGAAGCCTTCTCCTGTTGTAACTTGAAATGTCCTATTAAGGGACTGTGGGGGTGGGGCGTGGAAGGTTAAAAGGAAGGCAAGAGAAAGACACCTATCGGAGCCTTTAAACCCTCCCTTCTCTGACCAAGGTTGCCCTAAGGGAGGGCACAGAGGTTGGCTTCTCCTCAGCAGGCAGCCTTCCAGACATGCAACTTCCTGGCCTCCAAAGCTCTGACTACCCCACACTGCCAAGTCCCAGATCTGTCTCTCTGAAGAGCTGTCCAGACGGACATGTATGGAGACTGTCGACATGGAGCCTCTGAATCCAGGGGTCTTTCATGCTGCACCTGTGAACATCTTCCTGTGACCCCAACATCTCCATCTCCCCTTTCCCCAGAAGAGACACAGGAACAAATCTGCTTCAATGTAATTTAAGTTAACAGCCCAGAATCTTTGCTCTTTCCCATTTGAACTTATCAAAAAACTTTATAGATAATCAGGCCATACCAGTCCTATTAAACAGAAATTTAAAGACTCAAAATGTGTTAAACTGTGGATAACAAAGTCTCTTTAACCAACATACCAACACTTCACTTAGCAAAATGATACCCTGAATCCTTGACTTGGAAAACCTTTCCAGGCATATGAAAAACCAAAATTGCAGTTTTAGTCCAGGGAAATACAGTTTTGTCCCCAAGACTTAGATGCCCTCTTAGGTAACCAAGTGTCTTTTGAAGCATGTAGCTACCAGACAACAAACTCATCAACTGTCTCTCCCATAATGCCAACCCTTTAACCCACCACTATGGATATTTGTTAACTGTGTCTCTGTCAAAATGGACTGGTTATATCCAACAGCCTCCACTTTAAAAAAAAAAAAAAAAAAAAAAAAGCTATTGATTTGGCAAGGCTGCCCCACAGTCCATAGCACCTGTGTGTCTACCATGCAATCCCATTATTGCTTAAAATATGCAACCCTATCAAGTTTTATGTGAGAATGTTTTACTAGTAAAAGCTTAATATCGGCTCATAAAATAGTCAAATACAGAAGTACAAAACTTAACATTCCACATGACAGCAAAATATCTACTAAGGTCAAACATCAAGGCTTCGAATAATTTAATGAGCAATAAAAATTAACATTGAATTTGGTAGCAAGCACTTATAAAACGGCATCACACATCTGTATCTGTTAAACACTTTAAGTACATCATTTTACAGATGATATCTATTATCCAAAAACTTACTCACTTTATTTTGGCAGATTTGATGGACAGGCCGCGAGTGGGCTTCTGCTATCATGGCTGCACTGCAGCCGGCGTTGAGATCAAACACTTCCACGGTCCTGTTCCGGCCAGCTGTGAGTACGATGTCTGCATTAATCCAGTTAACGAGCTCTTCTCAACACTCTGACCCACAGGGAAGGGACAGTTCCCTCTCTTTTACTAATAAAAACTTTGGAATATTAGAAGACTCATGAAGGGACAACTAGTTAAGAATTTCTGAAGTTCCACTGGAAAAGTCCTGAGCTCAGTCCAGCTCCACTCCATCTGGCCCCAGGTATTGGCAAGAGCAGGTGGGCAGTGATGGATGGGCTGCCTAGGAAAAGAGAGACCACCACAGTGCCTATTTTGAGGTGGAAGTTCCAGTTTTAGAAACGTGGTGTTTGAGATGTTCATGAAACACCCAAATCAAATGTCAAATAATTGAATATGTAGATATTGTGCTGAGAAGAAAGGACTGAACTAAGATTAGACAGACCCACAGAGTGGATGACAGTCCCTGGGGCAGGCTTTATGGTGGGAGCATACAACCCCAACAGTGCCATGTTGGCAGGTGACCACGATGTGCTTCATCAACTTGACATAAAAGGAGCACTTTTACATTGAGGGCTCCTGCGACCACCAACACCCTACAAGCTTCATGCTCAGCCCTGAATGCTGTAGTCATGAGCATACCTGGTGGGAATATAGGGGCACTGGAGTCAAGAGACCCGAAGGCTGCAGTTAGCACTGGATTATTCTCAACGCTAGTACCCTTATATTCCAGAAAACGTCATTTAGGCTAGAATAATCCTAATGATATATTTCTTATTTCTGCTAGGTATTTTAGCACCTATCCTAGCATGAAATTACCACATTTCTAACTAAAACATACTACAACCTCCTAACACTTTATTTTAGTTCAACTATAAAACCCTCCAATAGAGTTCAACTTAGATCTAACTTTGAATAAATTAAAACTATACAATGAATTCCTAAATATCAGGAACTTTTCCCTAAATAAATTAAAATCAACTTTTAAAATTAAAAGGAATGATGTTAGCCATAAAAATCTCAAATATTAAAGTTTTGAATTCCATTTCATATTATTTTGAACAGCAGCAGCTATGATTTTTGCCAGTTCTGCAGATGGTACAGAATAACTAACTTACTACACATTAGTCAACAAAGTCTACACCGGAAGTGCAAGGTCAGCCCACCTGCAGGATGGCATGAGCTACACGGCACTCAGGTTTCTGTTTCCTGTGAGGCTCTTCTCAACACTAACGTGAAATTATTACATGCACAATTAACACAAAGACAGTGGGCTCCATGAGGAGGGCCCCTGCATTTCCAGAGCCCTGCACGATGTTGACACTCATGAGATGCAAGGCACATGCCTCTGCCAGAGGAACAACACTCAGGATCTGGGAGAAAGGATACGGGAATAAAAGTCATTTACTGCTGACAAACAGGTCATGTCTCCTGCATCCGTCATGGAGAGCCTGCAAACCAGCTTGGATTTGCTCTTCTGTTTATACCTGGAAGAGAAAATCAAGATGACCAAGCTTTTTGCTTTCCTTCCACTACAACAATGTTTTAAAGATAAATATCTTATCTTTAGAAACATTAAACATGAAAAGCAAGTTTTTGTATCACTTAAGAAGTCACACTTTATAATACTGAGGGAAAAAGTGAGTTGGTGACCTTAATTTTTCTTTAGAAAAAAAAAAGTGGTTTTCCATTAACATCTAATTATTTGTGGTTATTTTTGACATGTAAAAGATCTGCCACCCCCTCCTCCTTTTTCAGTCTGTGGTCAAATGCACCAGTTTTTTTCTATAGGGTATTTCATTGCATGCTTAGAAAATCCTACCTATCTCCCACCACATGTAACTGAGCAATGCCTTAGCTTCACTACCTTCCAAAACCCAACTGAAGTGGCTGCCAAGTGATTTCTAAGAGAAAGTCCCACAAGATCAGAAAGAGGAGGCAGGATCAGAAGAGAAGCCGCTAACTCTCAGAAGCAAAGGGCTGTATCAGCTGAGACAGGAACCCTGGGAGGTGAGCTGACTTGTGAAACTCCCTCCCAATAAGAAAAATAAACTTTAGGACTGAAAGGCCCAGGCATCTCTGAAGAGAAAGCTGAGAGGGGCCACTGAGTCCTGGAGCCCTTCCCTACATGCAACCCTCCTGCTCCCCAGAACAGGCCAGAAGTCACTCCGGGATGCTGTGACCTGGGACAGAGAGAATGGGGACACTCTCATGGAGATCAGGGATTCCTTGCAAACCCATCTATTGATAGAAGCCCCAGCCCTTTGCATGTCCCAATCCGAAGTCCCTCCATGAGAGAAGCAGGCAGACCCGGGCTCCTCCCAACCGCAGGGCATCCACCCCAATTAACAAACCAAAGTCAGACATCTCAGAAATATAACTTTGATTAAGAGCAGTGTGCTTAAATTACACTCAAAGCCTCAAAAAAATAAAATGACCTGAATACCTAGAGATACAGCAAAAATATAAAACTACGGCCAGGAAGCCAATACAACAATCTCAAAAGGAGGAAAAAGGAAGAGGCCAGGACTGGGAGACAGGTTCCTAATTCCCTCTGTAATATTTCATTTTATTTTATATATATATATTTTTTTTAATTGCATTTTGTTTTGGGGTACATGTGAAAACATGCAAGATTGTTGTATAGGTACACACATGGCAGTGTGATTTGCTGCCTTCCTCCCCTTCACCTATATCTGTCATTTCTCCCCATGCTCTCTCTCCCCACCTCCCCACCCCCATCCCTCCTCCATTTCCCCCCAACAGACCCCAGTGTGTAGTGCTCCCCTCCCTGTGTCCATGTGTTCTCATTGTTCAACACCCGCCTATGAGTGAGAATATGCGGTGTTTGATTTTCTGCTCTTGTGTCAGTTTGCTGAGAAAGATGGTTTCCAGGTTCATCCATGTCCCTACAAAGGACGTGAACTCATCGATTTTGATGGTTGCATAATATTCCATGGTGTATATGTGTACCACATTTTCCCTGTCCAGTCTATCATCAATGGGCATTTGGGTTGGAAAACAAAGATAGTAAAATGTTAATACTGGCCAAGCACAGCGGCTTATGCCTGTAATCCCAGCACTTTAGGAGGTTAAGGTGGGTGGATCACAAGGTCAGGAGATCAAGACCATCCTGGCTAACATGGTGAAACCCCGTCTCTACTAAAAATACAAAAAATTAGCCAGGCATGGTGGCATGCACCTGTCGTCACAGCCACTCAGGGGGCTGAGGCAGGAGAATCACTTGAACCTGGGAAGCGGAGGTTGCAGTGAGCCAAGATCATGCCACTGCACTCCAGCCTGGGTGACAGAGTGACACTCCATCTAAAATAAATAAATAAATAAATAAATAAAAATGTTAATACTTGTCCAAGCTAGATGTAGCTAAGAAGATACTTATTATTCCCCATATATATGTATATATTTGAAATAGTTCATAATTTAACTTTATTATCAATAGTATTTGTCCCACATGACATCACTTCAATATGCTGCAGAGCTGAGATGATAATTCAGGTTTCTCAAATCCCCCAAATTCTCACATTCTGTCATTCCAAAGGCCCCACACATAGTAACACAAAGGAAGGTTTAAAATGGGTAGGATCTGGATTATTCAGCTCTCATCAGTAGTTTGGTAATAGGAGGTTATTATTAAATTCAAGGTGACATTTTAAAATGTAAATACCTTTTTTAACATCACATTATTGAAACGGCTTCCTCTGATCTAAAAATAAGGCAGAAAGGAGGGCTGCCTACCTCTTAATCTCATCTTTGCAAGTGTCAATGTGATACTTCAGTAGCTGAAATTCAGGGCCAGAAGACAATAATATAAAGGCATCTATGTAATAAAACTGTGCAGACTGTATTGGTTTAGAAAACATGTCTTTGCCCTGTAATGCAAATCGGTAATTATTGTCAATATAATCTCAACAAAAAGACTATTGCTGTAAACACAAAATTATTTCTTCTTAAAACCCAACATCTATTTATTCTAAATGTGTACATATATTTGTTAGACCCAATCTACAATTTTTGTTTCCTCCTACTCCTTCTGAAAGGTATTATATAATTAAAATTTTACTGTAACGAACGTTTTGAATTCCAGCCCTTTAACAACTTTAAAAGAAAATTGAAACTTAGCAGTAAACATACTAAGTAGCAAGGATTGTATTAAAGGTGAAATTTAAAACATTTTTTAAAATGTAGTTCTGAACTGTCTACTCTCAAATTTAGACCTCACAACCAAACATTACAACACAGAGGAGGCCAGCGGCGCCCACGGCTCTCACAAACGCCTCCTTCCTCCCTCAGAGAGGCCCTAGGTCTTCCCTAACGTACACTTCCTTTCTTATCTGTCTCATATTCAATCCCCATTCTATAAAAGACCCATAGAAAGTAAATGCCAATGTCTTTGAAAATTGGCCTGCGTTTATCTTATGCGCTTTGCAAGTCACCTGCTCGTATCTGATGATTTGAAGATGAGTTTCCTACCGTTTCCTCTTCTTTCCCTGTCCTGGTCATAAGGTTGTATCTTCCTGTCTCTCCTTTCCTGTTCCGCTTTCAAATTATCTCCCATAAGTTCATCAACATGTCACTTTTCTCCCCAAAATATACTTCCCCCACATAATAGCCTTTGGCCATTATTACTGTCTGACTATAAAATCACATTGAATCAATATTTAAAATTATTCAAATATTTCAGTGTTAATCATTTGGCATTCCCAGACCATAATAAACATAAGGATAGATTTAACCGTATGAATTAAGCATGCGTGCAGCCAGTATGTAGGTATGTACCTGTGTACCATATGCATGTGTGCCTACTGCGTGTGTGTGGATGCATACAGGTAGACACACGTTTAAGAAACTAATTAATCAAAAGCAACTCTTGGTTTATGTCCATTTCTTCATCTCCTATTAAGGTAAAACAGAGAAGCTCTCAGCTGAGGGCTGCTCCTTTGGAAATGACAGCCCATGGCAGATGTGACCGTCCATTACCAGTAGCAGTGCATGCTCTGTCCTATGCGCCGACCACACCCGCAGGGTCTGGTCCCGGGCCGCGGAGAGCAGCCACCTCTGGTCATGGCTCCAGCAGACGGCGTTAACCGCCCCGTCGTGACCTAACAGGAATGATCAGAGAGGGTTACCATTTCTATTATTAAAATCAGTTTTGACTGACTGCTACTTATCTGGTGCTTTCATACAACACAACTGGAACAGTATTTTCCAAGTAATCAGAGGCACGCCATAAGGCTTCTCCTCGCCCCAGTGAGGCTGTGGAGCCTGAGGCCGGGGGCACTCTTTCCCTTCAGTAGAGGCTCAATGTGGCTTCTGAAGGCGGTTGCTCTAAAGCCTCAGGCTTCATTTTTTCAAGTTTTATTTTAGATTCAGGAGGTGCAAGTATAGGTTTGTTACGAGCGGATAGTGCATGGTGCTGAGGTTTGGGGTATGATTGACTGCCTCAGCCAGGCAGTGTAAAACCTCACATTTCTTAAACTATGATGTTCAACATATGTGTGCATCTGTGAGTGTATGTTTTCAGAGAAGAACATGGTAACATCTAGTGTTATGAACTACGGTATAGAAATCTATGGACTCCATGATAATGTATCAGTATTTTAAATAACTGCTATCAACATTGAAGAAAAAAGTTTTTAAAAAAATCACTGAGCACACACATATAAGTCAATCATTTGTTGTGACAGATTTGAAAAGTTTTACCTAAACTCAAAATGGCTGTTTTGATGCTGATTGGTGAGAGTGCCAGTGCCGATCTTCAGGCGTCTGAATATTGGCAGTGTGTGCCACTCTGATATTAAACTAAGGTAGGCTACGAGGTTAACAGTGTTTATTTCACATACCCATAAAAGCTTTCCTGTCCGGTCCCCACCTCATCCTACTTCCAGCCTAAATCTGTGGCCCAGGCCCTGGGCACGTGCTGCTTTCTGGACCTGTCTTGCCTCATAATTACTAGAACGGCCATCAGGCCAGGAGGTGTCTTAAAACAGCCTCTCAGCTGCCACCACCTGACGGCTCTAAGAAGCGGTGGACACAGAGGAAAGGATAAAGCTAAGACGACCAGGGCTGGGCGTCTTCTCAGAGGTCGGCCCTGGAGCAGAAAGCCAGGTATGTGTCCTGGTGAGCAGGGAGAGATGAGAGGAGCTGGGGAGGTGAGGGCAAGGAGAGGTAGAGCCCAGCCCTGCAGCCTCTGACCCCCTGAGCACTCGAGCTGGGATAACGGAGAAGACTGACCACAAATGACCCCAGACCTGCTCAACGACCCCATTTCACTTCCACAGATAAGCATTCTGTGATTAAAATCACAGGGGATGGGTAAGCACAGCTTCCAAGAAAATTCTTGTCATAGCCGAGATCTCCCCACGGAGGAGAAGGCCCCATCCTACGGGCCTCAGCATGTGAATTGCACATGATGATTTATAGACTAGACAAAAAACTGCAATCTCACTACATCGTATCTGTCAGAGCAGCAAGATAAAAAAGATGGGAAAACCAGGAAAGGCTTAAGAATATAACTCAGTTCTGCAACAGGACGCCAGGAAACACAGGGCTGAAATTCACAGCACAGAAAAACAGAAAACAGCTTTGCTGCCCTCACGTGTAGAGTTCTGGCAGTTTTAGCAGAAGTATCAAGGCCAGTTAAGGAAAGCTCCGAACATTCCTCACTGCTGCTCAGCTAACAGCAGCTGCCAGACTCAAAGGAAAGTCACGATTCATGACTGCCATTAATAGCCGCCCCCCATGCCGCTGGTACCGAACGCCGGTGGCATCCACAGCTCTGCGCCATCCCGAGAATGTCACAGGTTCACAGACATCTGCTGTAGCACCCAGTGCCCTCATCCTGGGCCGTCAGGGCATCCTCCCAGTGGCAAGGGCTTGACGCATCCGCCCAGGCACTGACCTCAGAAGTTACTTCATTACCAGCCGTGTGGCCACCCTCTTCCAGTATCAAACTCAGACCAGCCCCCTCGCCTGGCCCACAGGCTGCATGAGGTCGCACAGGAGAGAGGGTGAAGCTACCGCTACCACCCATGTTCTTCCTTCTTACTGAGACTGACAATGTGTTTCTCCAGTCCTTCCTACTTCCTCCTATGAGCATAGTGTTTGCTGGGCACCCAGTGGCCAACTATGCCACCAAGGCCAGCAGAGGCACCAGCAATGCAGGAACTGCAGAGCAACACCCTCAGCTCAGCCCTGGCAAGTTGGCCTGTCCTTCATCTCAAGTGTCAGGGACGGACCTCCCACTCCCAGGATGAAAACCACGGAGATTCCTCAGAACCTGCCAACGGGGGGAGTCCCCCTCCTCTCCGGAGCTCCAGCCCCAGATACAGGCGAGAAGCGCTTCGGCCACAGGGTGCATCCAAGACAAATCACTGCAGGGAAGGCTGGGCCCTCTGGAGCCAATCCCCATGAGCAATGGGCCCATGGGGGACCCCACATGGGTGCCTCTTCCAATCTCCCCTCAATCTCCTCACTATACAGAAGAGCTCTCTCTTCCTTTCCAGTTGATCAGGTTTCCCCTGTGGTGTGTGGGATGAGATGAGGAGCTTCAGAAATAGAGTGAAAAGAATTCTAAAATCCTGTCCAGGTCGGGGTTTTTTTTGTGTGTGTGTGTGACAGAGTCTTGCTCTGTTACCCAGGCTGGAGTGCAATGGTGAAATCTCGGTTCACTGCAACCTCTGCCTCCTGGGTTCAAGTTACTCTACTGCTTCAGCCTCCCAAATAGCTGGGATTCCAGGTGCCCACCACCACACCCAGCTAATTTTTGTATTTTTTAGTAGAGAAGGGGTTTCACCACGTTGGCCAAGCTGGTCTCAAACTCCAGACCTCAGGTGATCCACCCACCTCAGCCTCCGGAAGCACTAGGATTACAGGCGTGGGACACTGCGCCTAGCCTAGGTCAGGGTTTTAGGCCTCCTCTGGACCTAGATTCCTATGGACACGGGCCCTGCTAGGGGGAAGCAGTCAGGGGTAGGGGGCGTGAGCGGCACAGAGGTGATGTGTGCAGTCCCTGCTCAGAGAAGGAGCCGAGGAGAAGCCACTCAGCCCAGCTCGAGCCAACCAAGAGCCCAGGAGCAGGAGAGACGCAGACCTTCACTTCATACCTTGACAAAGATTCCTTTCATAAACAATTTCACATCTATCATGGAATTGTAGATTTAATCTTCTGAAATGCCTGACCCCAGAACTTCACAGTGATTACCACTGACTCCTGGGCATGTGACAGACAACGCAGCTCCCCTGCGCAGCACGCTCAGAACCTGCCATCCCACATCGCAGAGAACCTATGCTGTGCCAGGCATGTGTTCGGAGGAAGGCATGGGACTGGGGTGCCTGTCTTTGTAATTGAAACCATTTTTGATAGGAAACATTCTAAAATTTAAAGCAGAAACATGTAACTCCTCTCTTAAATTAAATACGATTGCTCTCAGTGGCTTTCAGGCTGGGCTGCATTACCTGACTGTACACTCAGAGACCCCGAACTCTCCAGGAGGGCATTTGAATTTATACTTATTTGTCCCAGATCACAATGAAAATAAAGACACTCGTTTTTCTGTGTTCTGGGCAGGTGCTGAGAGACCAGTCACATTTTCAAAGCTGAGTACACACTCAAAGTGAAACGATGTGGCTTGTGCAGTTGAGGCAGGTAAATGTGACCCTTCCCCGTACAGAAACAGAGTAAGTTTTTGTCAAGATGAGTTTGAAAACCCACTGCATTTTAGTTCAGGGAAAAGTCCTTTTTCCAACAATAAAATAGTGGTAAAATATCCACAATCAACAGAATAACCACCCATATCAACCATTCAGCCACAAAAGAAGCCAGCTCAGGGTTCTGGGGTGCATGGTGGAGGCTCTGAGGCTGCAGGATAGACTCGGGATGGGAGGAGAAGCAAGCGTGCTCGGAGGGCAAGGGCGGTGTCCAGGCCACGCAGGGATAGATGTCAGGTGGGACCAGAAGCAAGGGGGCTGGAAGGGTGAGGGTGGCATTCAGGGCACAACAGGAGAACCACACTCTGCACAGGCCATGCAGGGTAGACACGGGGTGAGATCAGGATCAAGAGGCTCAAAGGGAGAGGGTGGCGTCCAGGCCAAGACGGGAGAACTGTGTTCTTTCCAGACCATGCAGGGGCGGCAGCTTTGCTCATGCAGGAGCTGAGTCTGGCTCTGCCTGCCTTTGGGGGCCTCCCAAACCTCACTCTGGGGGTTAGTGAGTCGTAGTCACTGGGGGGCTCGTCTGCTCCCAGGTGTGGCCTTGCCCGGGCCTGGGCCCCACTGCCTCCGCCCCCCTCAGCCCCATCGGTCCCCACCTCTGCATTTCCCAACGACTGCCCTTGGGGTGGTTACATCACAGGCTGAGTGTCCCATATTCTCAATGCTTGGGATTAGAGATGTTTTGGATTTCCCATTTTTTTGGATTCACATTATGGCGGTTAAGCAACCCTAATCCAAAAATCCGAAATCTGAGATGCTTCAGTGAGCATTTCCTTGGCGTCGTGTTGGCACTCAAAGAGTTCTGGATATGGGAGCATTTGGATTTCAGAATTTTGGATTAGAGATCCTCAACCTGTAAAAAAACAGAAGGACTAGTGAAATATTTTTTGTTGTTTCTGTGCTTTTGTTAAAATATCTACCAAGTATGAGTTCTGATGCAAGTAGTATCAGTATCAGTAGTAATGAAAAGCTGTCAGGTTTTATGGAACTGGAATTAGAAATCAAATATATGCCCCAGTTATGAGTTGACATGGTGGTCATTTTAACACTGTTGCTCTCAGATCTACTTTTTTAAAAAAAAACATTGTTTGCTTTATTATGTTTATCAAAAAGTCTATGTACAAACCCCACTAAATTTCAAAATATTTCAATCTTATGTCTTTTGATTATATTAACTAACTATATTTCAATTATTTAGGATTCAACTTCACTCACTCCCCTAAACCTCTACAGATGATCAGCTCTTGGCCTCCAGGGCACCAGTCACAAAAGTGCTGCCACGCTGTTCTCATGAGTTATGTCTACCCTGAATGGTTTAAGAGCTCAGTGAATCCAGTTTAGAAAAAGAAAACAAAACTGTCATTTAGCAACTGAGAACCAGAACCTAAGTGGGACCCACCCTTACATTCATACTGATTGAAATTAAGACACGTTTTACCTGAAAACACAGCAGGTGTCCCAGTCAGGCTGGAATCAAAAACCAGACACAGATGGTTGGCCAACCCACAGGCCAGCCACTGTCCATCTCCTGTTAAAAAAATAAAAACAAAGGCCTCTTAGAAAAGCCTAATTCATAGGAGTCACATTAACCCCAGGCAAGATGTAGAACTTCTCGTAAATTTGGTTCTGAAACACACACGCGCACATCAGCACGGGGGTCTGCAGGCACCAGCCCGTGTCCACCCTTTCTCAAGTCCTCTACCTGACAACCTTGTAAGGTACTGCTCTGTCATTGTCATCAGCCTCCCTTAACAGAAGAGGAACAGCAGGATGAGAGAGCAAGGCTACCGAACAAGGTTGTGAACAGGAAGTGCTGCACCCAAAAGGTACTGTACCCAGGACAGGACAGAAACACAGTGCTGGGGCCTGCATTGAATCAGCAGACTGCCCAGAGGCACATTCAGCCAAGCAGTTACGTTGAAACAATTTCTGAAAACAGGGTAGAAACAACTGACACATGTCACAGACAATATTCAAACTTGAGGGCCGGTAACACTGAAGGAATGTTCTGGTCTATCAAAGATCAAACAGACTTTACTGATAATACTACATATCTAATTTCCAAAAGTGATTTTAAAACTTCTGTGGCTACAATTATATAATAAAATAAAGGGAATTTGGCAGAATGGTACATAGTAACCCTTAGGCGACTCAATTCTCTGGACAGGTGGTGTGAGGGTTGGGGATGGCGCCAGCCCAGACAGGACTTTCTGTCTAGCCCCAGGCAAGGGCACAGCTCGCCTGCAAGTCCATCTTGCTTCCGAGAAGCATCTGAGTGGTGCAACTATCTAGCCGAGGCCAAGGGCACTTTCACAGGCTGCTCCTCCCTTCTTTCAAAGATTATTTAGAAAAAAAAATGCGAGGTCCAACAGAAGTCTGGTGAAGGCATTATCAGGACACACGTGAGAACAGGGCGGCTCTCACGGAAGCCGAGACACAGCCCTGCAGGAAAAGGCCCCAGCTGAGGGTCTGGCAAGGAAGGGACACTGTGCACAGCCTGTGCAATGGCATTCATGCCCGTTCCTAGCCTGGCGCCTGCAGCCCATCCATGAGCAGAGGCTACGTCTCTAGAGGGAACTGGTGACTGTTCTGCTAGCTTCTCTGCCTACCAAAACCCTTCCACCAGGCCAACCTTAACGCTTCGGTAGGAGGGGTCAGATACATAGAGAGCAAAACCCAGAGGAGCTGGCCACAGAACAGCAAATTCAGTGCTAATAAGTGAGTGCCAGTCTCCGTGCCACCACAGGGGCAAGACACTCCATGATCACCCTCACTACAGTCATGTGAAATGAAGTCTCGGTTTTAATCTAGACACAAACCATCCCATGCAACTTCAAGTTATCCAAGGCTTTTACAAATATATTTACAATTTATGATACAATAGAAAAATGTTTACAGTGGACAGAATAAAAGACTCTTACAAACGAAATGCTACCCAGCTCCTGCAGGACGTGGCGCACCTGAGTACTGGATGCAGCACACACGTGTGCAGGCAGGGGCTGCAGCGACCCGGGGGCCAGGCTTGGCAGGCACAGCGCTGTCCACGGCGTACGCCTCCCTGAGGAAAGGCCAGAGGTTAACAATGATCGGGAGACACTCAAAGTGAGATGAGAAGTAAAATACAACCAAGAAACGAAGCGGGTTTCCCCTCATCTACATGTATAATTGTATTCCAGTAAACTTGAATATTTATCTATAAACGTGTATATTTAGACTCTTACATTCAAAATCATGAAATAACTCTTTTAAATAGACTAACATTTCACATCGCCAAAAAAGACATATATTTTACATATAAAACAGCAAGGATTTGTTGTGTTTCATATAAACTGATGTGAGTACTGTGATGATTAGGGATGAGGGTTCTCACTAAGAGAAGATGAATTTCACTTTCCAGTCTCATGCCACTATGGATGGTGGTGTAATGTCAATCACTCAAATCATCTGCAAATGCCTTCCATGTACACACCAGCGTCTTCTGTGTACACTAACGCCTTCTGTGTACACGCCAATGCCTTCTGTGTACACGTATGAGCCCTGCGCGGGCATGTGGAGGCCTCGCCACCACTGCTGCCCAGCAGTTCTCAACAGAAGGCCCGCAGGAGTCAAACGCAAAAGAAACAGCATGCTCTGTCTGGAAACCAGGGCCCTCACAGAAAAAAATCACCAAAAAAATCAGAGTTGAATGTAACGGTGATGCCACGTTTCACCTGCATAAGGCCAGATGCATTTTGCTGACAGCCCACACACAATATCAAGCAGAACGTGGCGGGGACAGCAGCACGCTGCAGAAAAGCACAGTGAGCATGGACACGGTCAACACGGGCGCTCAGTAATACAGCAGTTGCAAAGTAGACCCACGCACATTAAAATAGGTTTTAAGTACAGTAGCCCATATCTCTTCTTGGACAATCTCATCTTAAATCCAGGACTGGGAGAGGCCCCAGATGCCTGCCTGTCTAGTCACAAGGGGCCCAGGTGTCTGCAGGACATGCCCACAGCCAGTGTGAGCCAGCCCCGTGGACAGGTGCTCTCCCAATGGCGTGGACCACGGCCACTCAGAATGGGCACCTGGCGCTACAGCGGCCCCAACATTTTCACCCAATCCACCGGCATGGCAGGGTGAGCATCAGCTACAACATTTTCTAAACTGAATTTTAACAAAAATTCAATTCATTTCAAAATTGTGTTAAGGTGGTAAGAACACGGCATGTCTGAAAAATTAACAGGAAAGAATTAAATTTGACTAAAAAGATATATAAATAATATAGATATACGTATCTGTGTACATATGTACATAAACACATGCACACATGTAAGGTCTTCTACCTGTTTGGAAAGGAACCAGTTGAAGCATTGTAAAGGTCTGGGCTATTTCAAATGAATTTGGATGCATACTAGATCACACACCATGTGCAGCTGCTCCTGTGTCTTGACGGTCCTTTACCCTCACTCTTGATGTTGGTCTTTGGCGAAAACATAGTTAAGCTGTGGAAAGAAAACGCTATATCACTCTCAAATATTAAGAGCTCTAAGGTTCCCAAGAGATTTATATTTTACAGTGACAAAAATTATATACATAGACACAGACGTCTGCATAAATGCTTCCAAGCCCCTCCCTCCTGACCTCCAGCCCTCAAGTCACCTCCTCCCCTCCTGTGTCGCTCAGGCTGCCCCAGAGACATCACCCTGCTACACACTATCCTGTGACTCCTTTAAAATCTTGTAATAGGAACCTGATGCTGGGCTTTTTCTGTTAAATCCAAAGCCCCGGGTTGGCACTCAGGGCCACCAATGTCTGGCAACCCCTCATCCCCCAGGGCTCCCACACAAAGCCCAACACTCACAACATGCCTTAATATGGCAGACCTGGGGAATCCATACAAAGCTGCAGATGCCACTGGAGAATTCCTCCACCCAACCATCATCCATCCATTCACCCATTCCTCCATCCATCTACCCACGCATTCATCCCCCCTTCATTGACCCACTCATCCATCTTTCATCTGTATCCCTCCATCCCTACCATCCATCCATCCACTCATCCATCTCTTATCCCTCCATCCCTCCATCCCCACTCCATCCATCCACCCAGATCCATCCCTCATCTCTGCATCCTTCCATCCACCCTTCATCCCCCCACTCATCCATCTCTCATCCCTCCATCCCTACCATCCATGTAACCACTCATCCATCCCTCATCTCTCCATCCATCCATCCTCTCCATCCATGCACCTGCTCATCCATCTCTCACCTCTCCATCCATCCCCTCCATCCATCCCCCCACTCATCCATCTCTCACCTCTCCATCCATCCATCCTCTCCATCCATCCCCCCATGCATCCATCTCTCACCTCTGCATCTCTCCATCCCTCCATCCATCCCCCATGCATCCATCTCTCACCTCTCCATCCATCCATCCCCTCCATCCATGCAAGCATGCAGCCATCTTTCATCCCTCCATCCCCTTCCATCCATCTCTCCATCCATCCATTCATCCCTCCAGAAATGCCTTATGAGAGGGTTTAGGGTACTGAGTGCTGTCCAGGGCACAGTGGTTTAAAGAATAGATAATAAGTAAGGCACAGTCACCACTGTTAAGCCAAAGAGAACAAACAAGCAGATCAGAAAAGCCATTGGGCAAGAGGAGGCTGTGAGTTTACACAGAGTGGCCTGGGATTTCTGCCTGGAGCACAGCAGAGCCAGGGGGAGGGGTGGGGTGGGGGAGAGGCCAGGGGCACATGAAGGGGGAGCTTGGCAGAGGTGAGCACCAACCAGGGAGACTAGCGTGTGCTCTGAGAACAGGGATTCCAGGTCACAGGGCCATTTTGGCCGCTGTGTTAAGAGACATAAAAGGTCAAGAGATGAGGTAGGAAGAGGGGATACGTTTGCATTTTCTTCAGGAAAGTCAGCTTTCCCTTTGAGGAATGGGCTTGTAAGGTTTGGGAAATCTCAAGCCCCCCCTCCCCCGTGGTTTCTCAGAGTATCCTGCCGCTTCATCTCTCCTTGTCTCTGAGCAGCCTTGCAACTCGGGTCTTAAATATACTCTGTGATCTGCTCTGATGTTACGGCAAAGCTGTGTTCTAAGAAAAGCACTGTGTCTGGCCTTGAGGGGCCACAACTGCTTAGAGAATCATCACGCTCTCCCAGCCCCACACCCCACCAGCTAGCCCTCACCTCACGGGACCACTGCATTATCGGACAAGGACTTGGGCCGCTCCGTGGCCCAGCGCACAGTGAGTGCTCAGGAAACGTTTGCTGCTGCAGCTGCTGCTGACGGGCATGCTGGGGTCCAACCCAGCACATTTTAACTCCTGTTTATATTGCCGTGTCCTCTCTCCATAATGTGACCCTCAGGGACGTATCTCTGTCCCTGCTGGTGTTAAAGCCCTGCATCTGTGACGCAGGTGCACTCCTGATTCTCACTAAGACGAGTTTACTCACTGTGGTGTCGACGCATAACCAGACGACTTAATTTTACTGTGAAAAACCAGGAATTGGTCCTTCATGACGTTCCGTTTAGCTGCAGAAAGGCAATTTTAAAGAAGACACAAACACCGAAAATTAGCATCTCATTAGGGACATGAAAAGAACAGAGACTCTTCAAAAAAGAAACATTCACACCAACAGAATGAGTTTCCGACTATAAATATAAGAGGTTTCGTATCTGAAGTCACATCAACCATCACCAGCAAAAGATTAAATCAAGGGGTTAAAAGAATAAGAAAATAACCCAAGTTGGTTTTTGTTTGTTTTTAAGACAGAGTCTCATTCTGTCACCCAGGCTAGAGTGCAGTGGTGAGATCTAGGCTTACTGCAACCTCTGCCTCCCAGTTTCAAGTGATTCTCCTGCCTCTGCCTCCTGAATAACTGGAATTACAGGCACAGCACACACCACCACGACTGGTTAATTTTTATATTTTTAGTAGAGAGGGGGTTTGACCATGTTGGTCAAAATGGCCACAAACTCTTGACCTCATGATCCACCCACCTCGGCCTCCCAAAGTGCTGGGATTCCAGGCATGAGCCACTGTGCCTGGCTCAGCCTATTTTACATTTTGCATATGACTACCAGTTGACAAACACTCTGACATCACGTGAACTTACCATAAATACTTACAAATCAAAAAAATGTTTTCAGATGAAATATAGTTTTGCCAGAACTATTTATTTTCGCATAAACATAATAATTGGTGTTCAATATGAATAGTCTGTATATTATAAAATACCTTTGGAAAAAATGAATATTTGCATAATACTGAATAATTCTAAAAATAGTTCCTTTTTTTAAACAAATTCAGTTCTGTTTCTCGTACTATTTCATATCGGATAACCTAAATCATATTCCCATCAAGAATCAAGTGGCCTGGCTTGGCATGGGGACTCACAACTGGAATCCCAACCCTAACAAGGTAAGGAGATTGAGACCATCCTGGCCAACATGGTGAAATATCATCTCTACTAAAAATAGAAAAATTAGCTGAGCATAGCAGTGGGCACCTGTAATCCCAGCTACTTTGGAGGCTGAAGCAAGAGAGTCGCTTGAACCCTGCTTCAGCCTCCCAAGGAGGTGGAGGTTGCAGTGAGCCGAGATCATACCTATGCACTACAGCCGAGGCGACACTGCAAGACTCCATCTCAAAAAAAAAGAATCAAGTGGCCCTAACAGAGCATTAAATTAAGATTGTGGACATCTCACTGTGCAAATCAAAGTCCAGGAGGTGACCAGGAACCTGTGAGTCAGGTCTCTACCCTGGGCCTGGGCCTAGGCCTGGGTACTGCCAGCCTCACAGGGTTGCACAGGGCAAAGCTGGACCTGGAAAGGGAGAGGTTTCTATGAAAAAGGAAGATGCCACACACAGTTGGGACCCAAAGGGACCCTCAGAGGATGGAGGAGAAGCCCAGGAACTGCCCTGTCCAATCTACACAGTCAGGAAAGGAGAAAAAGCCTTCTTCAAAAAATGATAAAGTATCACCAAAAGGAAAACAATTTAAGGATAAAATAATAAAGTTATGGACACATTAGTAGTATACTTCATTATGAGAAAGTCTAAAAAGTCCTAGAATAAGGTTTATAAATATATAACGGCATGTTACTTTCACAAATGCTCTAAGCATTAACATATAATAGTTTCTCGTCCACCACATACATTCTTTTTTATATTATCTCTGTTACAGTTTTATAAGCAGAAGGCAGCAAATTTTGGGATTATAGCATTACTGTAAATAAAACATATCCATTAATTTTCCAAGGGAATATTTTCTAAACTACACACAAAACATCAACATGTTAAAATTTCATCACTTTGTAAAAGTTATCTCCATATTAAAACTATTTATATGATTGTTCTTATTAAAGGTTTTATTCTAAACTCTAAATCAGGCGTCCCCAAACTACGGCCCATGGGCCGCATGCAGCCCCCTGAGGCCATTTATCCGGCCCCCAGCCGCACGTCAGGAAGGGGCACCTCTTTCACTGGTGGTCACTGAGAGGAGCACAGTATGTGGCGGCCCTCCAACGGTCTGAGGGACCGTGAACTGGCCCCCTGTGTAAAAAGTTTGGGGACGCCTGCTCTAAATGCTATCACTGGTTGCGAACAACAGTACATCACATATGCTCATCTGAAACAAGATGATCCATGTTGACAAAAAGCCTAAAAATTCCACTTCCAAGGCGTGATCTAAATCAATGAAGCGAATGTAAAAAGGAAAGCTGAGGAAACAAACAGGGTAAGTTTTGAAAGAGAAAATCATGAGACTTGTGTCTCCTTCACGACAGATTGTGCGGCAAGATCTCACTCCCCAAATGTGCAGCTGTCCACGGAGGCAGAAAAGACAAGGGACTCCGTGTACTGGAAACACAGGAGGCTCTGCTCACCACTCAGCGTAAAGTCTACGAACACAGGGAGCTTCTTTCCACGCAAACAGTCAGAACTTTGGAAAACCATCTAAACAGTCTAGTATTACTGCAACAATCAGGCATTTTAATTAATATTGGTTAGTCAAGTTTTTCTGAAAATTTTTCACTAGAAATGTATGTATACACATAAAATTCCTTTGGTATTAATTAAGCAAATGGTTCAAAAAGCCTTTTTTCACATTGCGCAACAATGTGAAGGTACAGAATGCCACTGAATCATACACCTAAAAAGGTTAAAATGGTAAGTTTTATTTTATATATATCTTATAATTTAAAAAAAAGAAATGAACAGAAAATTTAAAAGACACGAAAAACAGACTACTACATAAATAATGCATGAAGACCATACTATTTACCTAATAAACAGTTTCAATTCTTCACTAACATAATTACTATCTAGGACTTTTTCAATTTTTTGAGAGTGCTGCTATTTAAAAGGCAAATGCTGACTTTATCTGTGTAACATGCTGGTTAGGTATTCAGACAGCCTCTCCCACAGAGAAACGCCACAAATGCCAGGTGAAATATATGCTTTATCTTGTTAAAAGCAGAAGAGAGAAAACAAACCAACAGCCAATATCATACTGAATGGGCAAAAACTGGAAGCATTCCCTTTGAAATCTGGCACTAGACAAGGAAGCCCTCTCTCACCACTCCTATTCAATATAGTACTGGAAGTTCTAGCCAGAGCAATCAGGCAAGAAAAAGAAATAAAAGAAATTTTCCAAATTGGAAAGGAGGAAATTAAATTGTCTCTATTTGCAGATGACATGATTGTATATCTAGAAGACCCCAGCGTCTCAGCCCAAAATCTCCTGAAACTGATAAACAACTTCAGCAAAGTCTCAGGATACAAAATCAACGTGCAAAAATCACAAGCATTCCTATACACCAGTAACAGACTTAAAGAGAGCCAAATCAAGATCGAACTGCCATTCACAATTGCTACAAAGAGAATAAAATACCTAGGAATGCAACTAACAAGGAACGTAAAGGACCTCTTCAAGGAGAACTACAAGCCATTGCTCAACGAAATAAGAGAGGACACAAACAGATGGAGAAACATTCCATGTTCATGGTTAGGAAGAATCAACATCGTGAAAATGGCCATACTGCCCAAAATAACTTACAGGTTCAATGCTATTCCCATTAAGCTACCAATGACCTTCTTCACAGAACTGGAAAAAAAAACACCTTAAACTTCATATGGAACCAAAAGAGAGCCCGCATAGCCAAGTCAATTATAAGCAAAAAGAACAAAGCAGGAGGCATCACACTACCAGACTTCAAACTATACTACAAGGCTACAGTAATCCAAACAGCATGGTACTGATACCAAAACAGAGATATAGACCAATGGAACAGAACCGAGGCCTCAGAGGAAATACAACATACCCACAACCATCTGATCTTCGACAAACCTGACAAAATCAAGCAATGGGGAAAGGATTCCCTGTTTAATAAATAAAACTGGCTAGCCATGTGCAGAAAGCAGAAACAGGACCCCTTCCTGACATCTTACAACAAAATTAACTCCAGATGGATTAAAGACTTAAACATCAGACCTAACACCATAAAAACCCTAGAAGAAAATCTAGGCAAAACCATTCAGGACATAGGCGTAGGCAAGGACTTCATGACCAAAACGCCAAAAGCAATGGCAACAAAAGCCAAAATAGACAAATGGGACCTAATCAAACTCCACAGCTTCTGCACGGCAAAGGAAACAGTCAGTAGAGTGAATCGGCAACCAACAGAATGGGAAAAAATTTTTGCAGTCTACCCATCTGACAAGGGGCTGATATCCAGAATTTACAAAGAACTAAAGCAGATCTACAAGAAAAAAGCAAACAAGCCCATTCAAAAATGGGCAAAGGATATGAACAGATACTTTACAAAAGAAGACATACGGGAGGCCAACAAACATATGAAAAAATGCTCATCATCACTGGTCATCAGAGAAATGCAAATCAAAACCACATTGAGATACCATCTCACACCAGTTAGAATGGCGATCATTAAAAAATCGGGAAACAACAGATGCTGGAGAGGATGTGGAGAAATAGGAACACTTTTACACTGTTGGTGGGAATGTAAATTAATTCAACCATTGTGGAAGACAGTGTGGCGATTCCTCAATGACCTAAAAATAGAAATCCCATTTAACTCAGCAATCCCATTACTGGGTATATATCCAAAGGATTATAAATCATTCTACTAGAAGGACACGTGCACACGAATGTTCACTGCAGCACTGTTTACAATAGCAAAGACCTGGAACCAACCCAAATGCCCAACGATGATAGACTGGATAGGGAAAATGTGGTACATATACACCATGGAATATTACGCAGCCATCAAAAACGATGAGTTCACGTCCTTTGTAGGGACATGGATGAACCTGGAAACCATCATTCTCAGCAAACTGACACAAGAGCAGAAAATCAAACACCGCATATTCTCACTCATAGGCAGGTGTTGAACAATGAGAACACATGGACACAGGGAGGGGAGCACTACACACTGGGGTCCGTTGGGGGGAAATGGGGGAGAGACGGGGTGGTGGGGAGGTAGGAAGAGATAGCATGGGGAGAAATGACAGATACAGGTGAGGGGACGGAAGGCAGCAAACCACACTGCCATGTGTGTACCTATGCAACAATCTTGCATGTTCTTCACATGTACCCCAAAACCTAAAATGCAATAAAAAAAATTAAAAAAAAAGAAAACGAGGACAAGACATTGAAACTGAGGTGAGCTGTGGACACTGCAACTCCAGCCGCAGGGACCTAGGATTTGTGTGGCCTCAGGGAGGTGCGGGCAGAAAGGCCAAGCCCCCCGGCCACTGCACAATCTCCGACTGGCCCAGGAAGCCTGTGCTGTGATGGTGTGTACTGGTCCCAGGCTCATGGTCCTATAGTCAGATGGACCGTGGCGGAAGCTATACACTTGTGCACCCAAACCCCTAGAAAGCAACACAAATCTCTTCTGATGGAATGCACTGCACTTCATTCAGTTCCAGAATATATATAACAACAAACAAAACAGAACACAATTAAGCATCCATTTCTGTGATGAAAACTGATACAAAAATCCTCAATAAAACATTAGCAAACTGGATTCTACAACACAACAGAAAGATTATACATCATGGGATTTATCCCTGACATACAAGGCTAGTTTTACACTTAAAATCAATGATACACCTAATTTAAAGCTGTACACCAATCATTCAGGTATAGAAACAGCGAAAGCTCTTGCTAGGGCATTCTGTGGAGCTGGCACACCAACACCAAGCCCAGTAAGTTCTTGAGAAATCAATCACTCAAGAACGTGAATCCAAAATGTCCTGTACAAAATAACAGTGAAGAGATAATAAATGCAAATTAGGTTTATGACAGCGACGTGTGGCTGATTAAACACAAGCAACAATCACCTCAGGAAAAGGCAAACAAAATCATAAGACAGCTTTGTATCTCCGTTGGTTGCCACACGGCTCAGGAGGGTCTCCAGATGCTGGTGAAACCCCACCCTCAGCTGGTTTCCAGGTTCTTGGCACCTTCAGAGCAAGAAATTAGATGTGAAAAGCAGCACCTTTTGCTACAAAGTGAAAGCACACACCTAAGTGAGAAGCCAGATGAGCTCAGGAGAGGGAAGCATGTTTAGAGGACTTTGAGCCCCCCATTTTGTGGATGTTTCTTTAATGAGACGGTGGGATCATCATCAGGTATCCTGGGAATGGAGGGGATTTCAGGTAACCCCCCATTACAGCCCCATTCTCTTATTCGGGTTTTCCCAGAACAGAAGAGGCCTCACACTGATGGGTTGGCCTTCTCTCTCCCTTGCTTTGGGTTTTCGGCTGTCTGCGGTTACTTTGCCACCTTCCTGTGTTCACTGTTGCTTGGGTCCGTCTTCCTGCGACCACCCAGTACTAATCCTGTCTCACACTGGGTGAGCAGAAATTGCAGTGCCCAGCAACATCCGGCCTTGGCCAGGGCTCAGGGCAGGTGGGGAGGTGTGTGCTGCTAGAGTAGCAGCCGGCCAGCTACCTGGGAAGACCTTCACCATCGTCTGCCACGTGGGGAACCTTAACCAAGCCCAGCAGCTGCCCCCGCAGACCTCAGGGCAGCCCTCCCGGCTCCAGGATACAGCAGGTGCTGCACAGGCTGCTCACAACAGCAGCGGCCTGGGACAAGCTGAACGTCTGTTAATACTGAATAAACTGTGGGTACATAAACAGCAGTATATCCAGACAACAGAATGCTATACAGCAACTGAAACAAATCTCACAAAGTGAAAACAGCACACCACAAAAGAATGCACATAAGAAAGAATATTACTCTATGCATGAACAGCTCCAGCCCCAGACCAGACAGGTTAGAGGAGACATTGTGATGAAGGATTTTTCGGTGTCTTTGCCAGCTGGAAGCCCCCAAGGCTGGCAGTGCCCCTGCCCTGGCCTCCCTGGGCCCTCACTAGGTACAGGAAGTACCTGCCCTCTCAGCTCATTTGTGTTACGGCCCATTCAGGACCGCTGCCCTGCCCTGGCCTGTGGCTCTGGGGCGGGCCTGGCCCCACTGCTGTTCCCGTGTGGGGGGTGGCTGCCCAGCGCTGGTGGAGGGTGGAGGGCTACAGCATTACAGCATTTTTCATACCTGCATTCAGTGAGTCCTCAGTTCTTGTCCTGCATCCAAGAATAGGTTACCCTGACCACTGAAGGGTGAGAAGGGTGGAGTTTTTTTGTTTGTTTTTGAGATCGAGTCTCGCTCTGTCACTCAGGGTGGAGTGCAGTGGTGCAGTCTCAGCTCGAGTCTCCCTCTGTCACTCAGGGTGGAGTGCAGTGGTGCAATCTCAGCTCACTGCAACCTTCGCCTCCAGGGATCAAGCAATTCTTCTGCCTAAGCCTCCCAAGTAGCTGGGATTACAGGTGTGAGCCATTGCGCCGGGGCAGAGTGTTTTATCAAGTGACAGCTCTCAGCAGAGAGGGGACCCAGAGACGGCAGCCCCCTACCCTCAGTCAGGTAGTCCCCCCATAACCACCGCTGTGTGGCTGAGTTCAGGGCTTTTATGGGCTCAGAATGGGGGAGTGCATGTTGATTGGTTTATGACTATGCAAAAAAGGCTAAAGAAAAGGCATCACTCAAAGATGGGCACAGCAATGTAAAAACCAATTCGAGAAGGGCAGGTTTATGTAAAATAGGTGAAAGGTAGGGACCAATCAGAGGAAAGCACGCCAAACAGGAAAACAGGTTCTCAGTCCAATCTGTGGATTTATCTGACACTTACAGTTTGGCTTTCAGACTTGAAACTGTCTTTGGTTTGGAGGTCAGGTTTCACTGGGGACCTGCCTGCATCTACCTGGGGATTTCTCTCACTCCTGCTGCTGTCAGTTGTTAAGAATGAATGGTAGGAGGTGAGACTCACAAGGCTAAGAGAGACCAGGAGGGGTTGGGGAAAAGCATGTGAGGAGGTTTGGGGATCCAGGAAGACGAGGAGGTTCGGTGGGGGCTAAGGAGAACAAAGAGGCTGGGAGGACCAGGCAAGGAGGCCTGGAGGACCCAGGAGGACAGGAGGTAGGAGGCAGGAATGCTCAAGAAGGCAAGAAGGAGGCTGGGAGGGCCCAGGAGGAGGAGGAGGCCAGGTAGGCCCAGGAGGAGGAGGAGGAGGCGGCCAGGAAGGCCCAGGAGGCGGCCAGGAAGGCCCAGGAGGAGGAGGAGGAGGCGGCCAGGAAGGCCCAGGAGGAGGAGGAGGCGGCGGCCAGGAAGGCCCAGGAGGAGGAGGAGGCGGCGGCCAGGAAGGCCCAGGAGGAGGAGGAGGAGGCGGCCAGGAAGGCCCAGGAGGAGGAGGAGGAGGAGCAGGAGGAGGAGGAGGCCAGGAAGGCCCAGGAGGAGGAGGAGGAGGAAGAGGAGGCCAGGAAGAGGAAGAGGCTGAGAGCACCGGGGAAGAGGAAGAGGCCAGGAGGCCCAGGAGGAAGTGGCAGCTTGGGTAGGCTTAGGCCTGCAGCAGCCCACAGGCGTTGTCTTCTCAGCCATCATCCAACCCACCTGCTGTTCAAGTCTTTTGCAATTTAAGATGACTTCTCAATGATGAGTAATTAGCGCCTCCTTACACAGCAGAAGTGCCATGACTTCATGAGGTCAGAGGCCACTCCCAGCGAGGAGTCAGCTTGGCCTGGAGGCTGCGATGCTGGCTGAGCCTGGCCACCTTCCCCAGGCCTTCATTCTCACAGTTTCTCAGAACTGTCCCCATGGTGATGGGATGGCAGCAGAGCATAAACCAGCAGGAGACGGGCACTTAACCCCGAAGGTGGGTCTTTCATGGAAAGAGGGCCTAGGAATGGGGGACCTGTCAGAAACCCCACAGCAGCAGGGACACGAGGGCATGTAGGGCAGAACAAGCAAACAGTTCCAGGCCCAAGCTCAGCTCCGAGTCCTAGCCTAGCACCTGAAAACGGCCCTCCCCAATCTGCAAGGCGGGCGGGAACCACACAGTCTGTGAGACCCAGGAAAGGCACAAGTGCTCAAGGCGTGATTTCAAAACGTCTGGTGGGGGCGGGGGGCGGGCAGAGAGGCTGGGACGGAAGTCCCAGAAGTCAAGCTCAAGGGCTTTGGGGGGCATAAGGACATGGCCCATGTCAGAGGGCAGGTGCCACGGGGGTTCCGGACATGCCTGAGGAGGGAGCCCCGGTCCAGCCCAGCCCGGGAAGAGGCCTGAGGGCAGGGTCGCCAGGTCACTGGTGGGGAAGATGGCCCTTCCGGGAGGCGAGGGCCAGCGGTCAGGCAGCTACAAGGCAGAAGGTGAAAGAAGGGTATGGGGAAGCCACAGGCTTTTGAAGTAGGTCCAGTAGGAGGTTAATAAGACCAATTAAAGGGTTAGGCTGGTCACTGAAGGAAAAAAAGACGTAATTATCAGTAAGCCTTGAAAGAAATGGAACATAACAAAGTTTACCATCTTAAAGTGAAAGTTAATTTTTATATATTTGAAAGATGCAACATGTGGATTTATTTGGCTGCTGCCTAATTAAAACAAAGCAATAAAAAATATTGTTGAGGCAATCAGGGATAATTTATTATGGCCTTGCTAATACAAGATTCCAGAAAGTTACTGGTTTTGACATAATGTCATGGTGGTAAAAATGTACGGGTTCCAGAAATGTGCGCTGAAGTGTGCAGGTGTACAAACACTCAGGATTTGCTTTCAAACTCCTCAGCAGAGGACCAAGGGAGAAAGATGTTCTCACCATCAATCACTGCTGAAGGTGCACTCTGCACTCCCACTGCACCAGGCACCAGCCTTCAAATTCGGGCACGGTGCTGAATTGCTACGAGGGACGCCCAGTTCAGGAGGGAAGCACCCAGCATATTCCCACCACAGCAGGCATGTAACAAACACCTGAGAGGCAGAGACACGAAGGAGAGAAGGCTGGAATGAAGTGCAGAATGCGTGTTTTAACAGATAGGAATTCTCAGAGCCATGTAGCAGCCCTAACCACAATGAGAAGGCATCAGCCTGTGTTCTTAGATTTCACAGCTCACTGAACTCACCACATCGCTGTTCACTAGCAGCCTTGGTGCTTTTCTCCTTGGCAATTCCCAGATACAGTGGAGAGGTAGGTAGGACACAGGAGCTGTAACAGAAACAAACCACAGAAAACCAGGAGTTCAAAGAATGATACGATGGACACATTTCAATGACACACTCACTTTAAAGACAGTTACAAATGACTAATTCATGCAGCTATGTACAGAGCAGTATTTGAAAATGAAAACCGTCAAGCATATTCTTATCCTTGTTGGGAAAAAATTAATATATTCTTAATAAAGGTGCTGTTTTATAATGTACATTCTATCCTGAAATAAAATAGTGGTTCACACTAAAGTTAACTATGAACCATTTAGTTTTCAACAAGATAGAAGCAACAGCATGAGAAACTGTTTCTTCCAACGTTGAGCTGGTAAGAGCTCAGAGTTTCCTACACTTTATTTCTCAACACAAAGAAATACGGGTGAACGTGCACACCCACTCCACACCTGAAGACACTCTACCTGGCTGGCACTGAGAGGCCCTGTCCCACCCTGGGGCACTGCTGAGCCACGACCAGCGCGGCTGGGTCCACCTCCAGCGCAGCGATCTTCCCTCCAAACAGGGAGGCCAGCAAGCACAGCGCCTGCAGGGACACAGTTTCCACGTGGTTAGTGACACTGTCTGGGAAAGGAGACTCAGGGAGTATCCGGACACGCGTCTAACACCGGCCTCATTCTCACAGCAGGGTCACCACCCTGTCACTCCAAAAACGTTTTCTCACACAAAATCCCATTTCCTCAGCCAGTAGTTACTAGATCACTCTGTAGAAAGGAGAAATAGGAGGCGCCATGTCTCAGGACCGACCTTGCCATCTGCGGAGCAGCTCCTCAGGGCACATGATCCGGCCAATGGGATGCTGAGGCTGTGGAAATCTTCAGTTCAGCAAGACCAGGAGGAACATGACGGGGAGGAAGGGAGCACATGTACACGGAGTCACTGCCCAGGCCCCGCCACGCACGCTCCGGGCCCCATCACACACATTGCAGGCTGTGCACCACATACCACACACACCAGGCCAAACGCCACACACACACCAAGCCCTGAGCCTCACACACTCCAGGCCCCACCACACATACGCCAGGCCTGGCCACACATACTGCAGCCTGTGAACCACATACCCACACATATGCAAGGCCCCATGCCACAAACACACCAGGCCACACATCACACACACTCCAGGCCCCGCCACACACACACCAGGCATGGCCACACACACTACAGGCTGTGCACCTCACACCCACACATACGCAAGGCCCCGTGCCATGCACACACCAGGCCACACACCACACACACTCCAGGCCCCGCCACACAAACACCAGGCTCCGCTCTGAGGCTGGGATGTGACTTGGACTAAGACCTGCAGCTCAGCCTCCTGGAGAAGCCACACATCCAGCAGGAGCTCAGAAAGGAAATGTGTTATTAAGAGTTGTGACCGTTTTGGGGAAGAAAGGCTGAGTTTGCAAAGAGGAGCTGCGCCTGGCTGAACTGAGGAAGGGGAGGGATGGGCGCCTGAAGGGAAGGGGGAGTGTGAAGATGCAGATGGATCCCGCAGCCCCACAAAGGCCTGAGCATGCAGGGCTGGAAAAGAGGCACCGAGAGAAGCCAGTGCCTAGAGGCGACCGCGGAGGACCCCCTGCAATGGAGGAGAGGGTTGGAATCCAGCCTGCTTTTCAAAGTCACCTGGGTTCCTGGGCAGAAAGTGTGTGGCCGGAGGCAGCCAGGGAGCTAGGAGAGGAGCGTGGGAACCTCTGGGGTTGGGGGATGAGATGGGGGCCTTGGGGGCAGGAGGTGGGTACAGGTTACTATTTCTACATGCCTGGGGGGTGGCAGAAACGGGGGAAGGGAACCAGCGTTGGAGAGCAAAGCACCTTGGCCGGATTTACGCTGCGCGAGCCTGGGGCTCCAGAAAGCTCTCTAGGGATACTGGAGAAGCCAGAGGCTTCCCAGAGGTGTTCCCATGGGTGTTGGGGTGTTGCACACCCCAGGTGTCCTGGAGTGTCTGGCAAGGGCCTGGTGGATTGTGGGAAGGGGCAGCTCCAGGGCTGAGTGCCTGAGGGTCTGGGAAAGGTCTTCATCCTTCAGATCTGGCAGCACAGAGGTCCTTGCCATTTACACCAAAGATCTTACCCTTGTAACATAAAGCAGCTTCCACTTCCAGGTTTGCCAGGTTAAACACGAATAAGCCCACTGAGCTTCCAATCCACAAGCACTGGGTGTTCTCAGAGGAAAGACTGATTTACGAACAAAAAGTAAAGAACACACACTAATCTTACTCCTGAAGGTTTGGTCCCATGCATGCCCCTTGGTCTGGCTGTGAGCTCTTTGCAGAAGTGGGGAGCACAGGCCGGGGTGGGTTCCTGCCAATGAGAACCACATCTATGCTGGGCTCCCATTCAGTCCATGGTGGGTCCCCTGGGTACCTGCTAACATCCAGGTGTTAGCATCAGTCCATGCTTCCCCCACTAGCTTCAACAGAAGGTGTCATGTGGCTCCTGCTTTGCTCTAAGGGCCCCCTCTGCTCTAGGTAAGACGGGGGCCTCGAAGAGCCTTGGGTCCATGCATCCTCTGGGAGCACAGCACCCAGCCTCCATGCCCACCCTGCTTCCCCTCCGTGGTTTGGACCCAGCAGGGACTATTCTGCTCCAGGGATGCCCTGCACAGAGACATGGGCGAGCAATGGCCAAGGCCATTCAAACCAACGCTGCCCCCTAATCTCCAGCGCTTTCCAAGCATTTTGGGGAGGAGAGGTGAACATAATTGTGGCATGTTCTTTAATAACAGGTAAACAGTACTTCTTTATGTTGCCAAATATGTATAATATTTCTGAGGCCAGAAATCAATAGAATTCATCTGGTGTTAACTTTAAATGTGTAACATACAGTGCAAGTGGGAAATGGGAAAGCTGTGGCCATACCATCACCATTTCCTCTTTCTAAAGAAAAAGTCATACCACAGAGGAGAAGGTCTGCCTAGACTTTGGTAACAAACTTAAAAATCATCAAATTTCTTTTATTAAAGATACTTACACATCACTGTCCCGTTTGCCAACTTTAAGATTTAAAGCATGCAATCCCAAGAATGACGTTAGTAATAATAACAGACAAAAATAATTTGGTTTTATTTCAATCATTCCTAGAAAATAAACCTAATGTTCATCTAAGGAATTTAAGGTCCCCTGGGCACCTCCTAACATCTGTGAAGATGCTCGCTCTGACCTCTGTGGTTTCTGTTTTCTTTACACGGCACAGGCCAAGCTTTTGATGCTTACCATCCACATGCAGAATGTGGGACACGTGAGAGATCGCAGGGTGCAAGTCTCAGTATAGGAAACGTCACTCCCACCTGCTCTCCTTTTCCCAGGGCACTTGTAGAGGGAAGCCAGCTTTCTTCTAGGAAACAGAATTATTGACAATCTGAGAAGTGAACTTAAACACATCCGTCAGGTTTAAAGGCCAAGGACTGCCCCATGGAGATGCTGAAGTAAATATGCACTGCAGAGTCACTCGGATCATGTGGCAAGGAAAGCTCTAAGGTAGCACCCAGCACAACACATGTGCACCGCAGAGTCGCTCAGATCGCACATCAAGGAAAGCTGTAAGGTAGCACCCAGCACGACACGTGTGCACCGCGGAATCACTTGGATCATGCGTCAAGGAAAGCTCTAAGGTAGCACCCAGAATGACGCGTGTGCACCGCAGAGTCGCTCAGATCACGCGTCGAGGAAAGCTCTAAGGTAGCACCCAGCATGACGCATGTGGACCGCGCAGTCACTCAGATGCACTGCGGAGTCACTTGAATCACACAGCAAGGAAAGCACTAAGGTAACACCCAACATAGCACTGCCTGGGAGCGATGAAACTTTAGGTGCAGAACCAGAGCAAGAGAGTGGGAAAGAAGAGATGATCGATGGAAAGAATTTAACTTCATGTTTCCTAAAACTAAGTTTAAGATTTGCTTCAGTAGTAAATAATTATTTATCAAATAAATAACAAAAACCAAAGCTTAAAGCATTAGGGAAAAAACAGTTATGCTTGATAAAGGTAATTTCAGATCTAATATGAAAAGAAATAGTTTAAAGTCATTTGCAAAACACAAAAGCTAAAAGAAAGAACGAGTAACAAGAGCGAGAAAGAGCATGTACACTGTAAACACAGAGGTGATTGCTGTAATACGAAATGTCCGCTGCATGTTACCAATGAAAGAAGTGGCCCCTGGATTGAAAAGTAAAATCAGTCTTTTCCTCCAGGAGAGGGTCAGCTCCTTTGCGACAGTACAGGAGATAAAGAGCACACATGAGGTGAGCTGTGGTCAACAGGAAGCAACTCTGGACAGCAGGAGACCAGGTGAGAATGTGGGGGTGCGAGGCAGGTGCAGGTGGTGTCTGAGATGCAGAGGAGGCCAGGTGAGGATGTGGGGGTGCTGGGTGGGTGCAGGTGGTGTCTGAGATGCACAAGAGACCAAATGAGGACACAGAGGGTGCTGGGTGGGTGCAGGTGGTGTCTGAGATTCACAGGAGACCAGGTGAGGATGTAGAGGTTGCTAGGCAGGTGCAGGTGGTGTCTGACCCATGCAGTGCACCTTTCTGATCAGTATGACCTGCCCTCCCTGGTCATCCATTACAGGACAGCAGCCCAAGGTAGCCGCGAAGCTGCTGTATTGGGGCCTGGTGTTCTTCTGTTCACCAAAGCCCCTCAGCCCTCTCCCCACACACACCAGGTGCCTCTATCTGCTGACTGCCCACCCCTCACATGACCTGCAGGGCCTCATTGGATTTCTGAGGTTGCAGCCCTAGGCTTCTCCTATACTGGGACCTCTCTCTCCCCTTGGTTGGACCTAGGGTCCTTGACGCGGCGCCTGGTGAAAGATCCAGGCCAAGTGGGAGGCCTGAGGGAGGGGCTGAGCAACCTACCTGGCTGGCTGTACAGCCCAGACTTAACCCTTCTTGTGAAGAAAGTCTCTGTCTTCTTCCTTAGGTCAACCCGTGCCACAAGACGATAGTGGTGTCCATCCATCAAACTGAAGATCCAAAGCTACAAAACCAAAGAACACACAGACATGGCAGCAACAGCAGAGGCCCTTCCGCAAAAGCAGAACGCCAGAGCAGGAGCATGAGGGAAGATGTGTCACAGGACAAGCCCTTCACGCCCCACAGAGGCTCCCTGCACAGCTCTCTCCTGCCTTCAGCCTCCACCCTGGAAGCCCTCCTTATGGCCTACACCCGCGGTGTCAGAGCACTTTCGCACTGCCAGCACATCAGCTCAGCGCACACAGGCAGGGTCCCATTGCGCAGGCCTCCCCACATGCTCCCGGGACCCCAGCCCTGGGCTCTCTACACACACCCCATAGCTCCTCCAGGCCCTCCAGCCCCAGGCTCTCTACACACACACCCTGGCCCCCAGGTTCTCTGCACACACACCCTGGCCCCCAGACTCTCGGCAGACACCTCACAGCACCTCCAGGATCCCCAGCCCCAGGCTCCCTGCACATACCCTACAGCTCCTCTGGGGCCCCAGACCCAGACTCTCAGCACACACCCCGCAACACCTCCAAGACCCCCAGACCCCAGGCTCTCTGCAAACACCTCACATCACCTCCAGGACCCCCAGACACCAGGCTCTCTGCACACACCCCACAGCACCTATAGGACCCCCAGACACCAGGCTCTCTGCAAACACCTCACATCACCTCCAGGACCCCCAGACCCCAGGCTCTTGGCACACACCCCGCAGTACCTCCAAGACCCCCAGACCCCAGGCTCTCTGCAAACACCTCACATCACCTCCGGGACCCCCAGACCCCAGGCTCTCTGCACACACCCCACAGCACCTCCAGGACCCCCAGAACCTAGGCTCTCTGCACACACCCCACAGCTTCACAGCCAAGAGTATGTCCCACATGCCCTGGCTGAAAAGACAAAGTCAGGAGTGGTCAACTTTGTCAGAAGGAAAAAAGAAATCTAAGTTTTCAAAAATATCTTTTTCAAATTATATCAACAGCAACTTTATCCAAGCTTTGTGAAATGAACCTAAAATGCTCACCTAAAAAATGTTTTGAAAAAGATCGATATATTCAGATTTTTGACAGTGTGTAAGCTGACATGAAACAGGAGCACAAGGAGTGCTGGGGAAGCCACCAGAGGAGAAGTCCAGGGAGTGTCTCCCCAGAGGAGAAGTCCAGGGAGTGTCTCCATGGCCACAGGCAACATGTGTGGGATGTCTGCTCACAGCCCTCTTCCCATCTGGTTTAAAGGTCATGTCAGTGGCTCTCACTTTGGCTGCACTCCAGAAGCATGCATGGAGCTCTGGGACGTGTAGACCCAGCTCCTTTGCAGACCAGGGAGCCTGGGACCATACTGAACCCACAGGGATGCTGAGACCCACAGAAGGTCACATTCTCAGCACTAAGGTGGATGAGTTTTTTTCAAATCACAGACAAATACAAAGCAGCATGAAGACAAAGACGTTTGTGTACACGCTCACATACAGGAATGTCTGAGAACTGAAACTTAACTCCGTGGCTGTCTCACCTGGCCATCAGCACACCCAGTGACCAGCTGCCTGCTTTCTGCATCAATGAATAAGCTGAGAAGAGGATATGCTGGTGAAAGGAACATCAGAAAATGTAGCTTTATAAGTGCCTGGTACCAATTAAGCTAAGAACTATCATCTCTTTATACGTTTACTTACAGCATTTCTGTTAGTCAAGTTTGAACAATTCCGAAAAAATTTCTTCAAAAAAAAAGGTGAAAATTGCATGTGAATACAAATGTTGGAAACCTCTTGCACACAAGGAAGGCTGGGAAGTCACCCAAAAGGATGCCCGGGGAGTCTGCCACATATTGATCCCGGGGATTCCCATCCCACCTGCCCAACAGAAGGCCTGGTGTGATTAAACCACCACCCAATCCTCAGCTGCTTTATAACCTAGAGGGAGGGCAGCACTGGTGTTCAATCAACATTGCACTTGGAGCAGAAGGATTCCTCAGTCAGCCAGATGTAATAAAATTATGGACTTAGTAATGAAAACAGCAATTAAATGGATATCTGGTTTTCCTGGAAAAAAAATTATTGCCTAGGATGTCATTTCATTTAAACTGTCAATAATTCAGGAAAATTAAATAAATGAATATTGAAAAATATTACATGTCCTAATTAAACTATAAATGAAATCTAAGATCAAGTGTATCATTGTTCTTGGCAACCAAATAGTAATTCCATATCATTAATTTCAGTAAAAAGATTCCAACATATTTCTAAGAAAAGTGCTTCACCTTGAGAGAAAGCAATGTATTCAAGTCATTAGAGTACCATAATCTACACATGGACATATTGACCTCAGGAAGAATGTTAAATCTTTGAGAGGTTGTAACAATAACTCTACCAGTGTCTGTATATGCTTTAAGTGGCATTTTCTTTTTTTCTTTTTTTAACAGAAATTGATGCTTACTGAGAGAGTAAAAGAGATGCCAATATTCCTGCTGAAAATGTCCACCTGAGCAGGATGTGCTGTTGAGCCCACATGCCATGAGATAGCTTAGCATGTTATCATAGCACTTTTTTAAATTGCATTTTAGGTTTGGGGGTACATGTGAAGAACATGCAAGATTGCTGCATAGGTACACACATGGCATTTTCATGTCACTTATCCCACGAAAGAACGCTGTCCTTGTAGCTCCCTACCCCTCTTCTTCTTCCGGGAAGATAGAACGTGCACAAGAGGAACAAAGCGCATGCAGGAAACCAGCGCCCCGAGGCGCCCGGGGGACACCACCGGGGCTGCACCGGAGAGGTGCTGAGGCGTCGCAGGTGCTCCTCCCGCCGCCTGCACCAGCAGTGCTGCATCGGTGTGGCCGTGGGGCAGCCTCATTTACCAGCACAAAAGCCACCTGAGGAAGAACGCACCAACCCTGGCGGTCACGAGCTGCGCGCATGCTCAGTGCTTGGCCCAGAGGCCGCCGTGGGGCGCACTCCCGCGCACGCGGGATGAGCGGTGCAGTCCTGGCCCCACCAACACCGCTGGTTCTGGGACTCGCTTCTACACAGAGAGCAGAGGGCTCGCCTTCCCTGGGTACTCCGGCATTTTATCTGACAGCAAACATGCTTTACTGTTTTCCAAAACAGAAAGGCCCAGACTCCAAGCACACGTTTAATTTTAGTTGAAAAACTTCAAGGGCGTTCACTATTAAGTGAATCCTTTCCCTATGGGGACGGTCGTGAAGGGCTGTAAGCCTGAGATCGTCTCATTCACATCCACCTGAATGTTACGGCTTCATCTTATGCCCTGAAATATGCTCTAGAATAACTGGGTTATTTATAGGAAACATGAGAGTTTTAAATTTACCTGATAACACAGATGAACTGTATATTAACGATCCTGTACAATGGTCCCAGACCTTTGGATAAACACAGGATTCTTGAAAAGAACGTTGCCATTATTGCAATAGGTTAAGCTAACAGTACTACCCAATATTAGATTGGTCAAACTAAACGATTATCTAAAACAGAAAGCAACAAAATGAGCACATAAGTAATAAAAATGTAGACACACAATAAAAGATGTCAGAATCAAAAAAGAAAAAAATCACATCATTCCATAAATAACCCCTGATGGGTTTGAAGACTTGGAAACAAAAATAAAACAAGGTTAGAAACAGCTCTCAGGCACTTGGTCAACATTGCCAAGATAGGGGCACCAAGCAGAAACTGCAGCAGTCTACACCCTATCAGCTGCACACTCACGTGTCAGGCCCACACCCTGACCTCCAGGTACAAAATTGCATGTCAGGTCTACACTATCAGCTGTCAAGTGCACTCCCATGGGTCAGATCTACACTGTCAGGTGCACACCCGTGTGTCATGACTACACTGTCAGCTGTCAGATGCACACCCGTGGGTCAGGTCTACACTGTCAGCTGTCAAGTGCACTCCCACAGGTCAGGTCTACACTGCCAGGTGCACACCCGTGTGTCATGGCTACACTGTCAGCTGTCAGGTGCACACCCGCGGGTCAGGTCCACACTGTCAGCTGTCAGGTGCACACCTGCGGGTCAGGTCTACACTGTCAGGTGCACACCCGTGGGTCAGGTCTACATGGTCAGGTGCACACCTGCATGTCAGGTCTACACTGTCAGGTGCACATCCGCATGTCAGGTCTACATTGTCAGGTGCACACCCGTGTGTCATATCTACACTGTCAGTTGTCAGGTGCATAACCGTGGGTCAGGTCTACACTGTTGGGTGCACACTCATGGGTCAGGTCCACACTGTTAGCTGTCAAGTGCACACCTGCGGGTCAGGTCTACACTGTCGGGTGCACACCCATGGTCAGGTCTACATGGTCAGGTGCACACCTGCATGTCAGGTCTACACTGTCAGGTGCACATCCACGTGTCAGGTCTACACTGTCCGGTGCACACCCATGTGTCATGTCTACGCTGTCAGCTGTCAGGTGCACACCCGCGGGTCAGGTTTACACTGTCAGCTGTCAGGTGCACACCCACGGGTCAGGTCTACACTGTGAGGTGCACACCTGCACATCAGGTCTACACTGTCAGGTGCACATCCACGTGTCAGGTCTACACTGTCAGGTACACACCTGCGGGTCAGAGCTACATGGTCAGGTGCACACCCAAGTGTCAGGTCTACACTGTCAGCTGTCAAGTGCACACCTGCATGTCAGATCTACAATGTCAGGTGCACACCCACAGGTCAGGTCTACACCGTCAGCTGTCAAGTGCACACCCACGTGTCAGGTCTACACTGTCAGGTGCACACCCAAGGGTCAGGTCTACATGGTCAGGCGCACACCTGTGTGTCAGGTCTACACTGTCAGGTGCACACCCAGGGGTCAGGTCTACATGGTCAGGTGCACACCTGTGTGTCAGGTCTACACTGTCAGGTGCACACCCACGGGTCAGGGCTACATGGTCAGGTGCACACCCGTGTGTCAGGTCTACACTGTCAGGTGCACACTGGCGTGTCAGGCCCACATCCCAGCCACCAGGTGCACACTCATGTCAACTGGATAAAAGCTGAATTTGCATTTCATTTTCTTCCAGATCCTCATTTTGTCCTGACTGAGCCCTCTATCCTGGAACTGGCTCTTCTGCTCTGGGCTTGGGAAATGCTGTGGAGAATTCCTGCTTGGGCTCTCTCAGGCCCTGGATTCCATTGTGGGAAAGCTGAGGCCTTCCAGTCAGGAATCCAAGCCCAGCCAGTGGCCCTGCAAACATCAGGGCTTGGTGTTTATATGGCAACTGGGACAGTGTTTCCCTTGCAGAAATGGGGTAGAAACACCCCCACTCAGGCGGCAGTGGCCATGAAGCATCAGGGCGTGGTGTTTATCTGGAAATCAGGACGGCAGAATGGGGCAGAAACAACACCACTCAGGTGGCACTGGCTGTGAAGCAGCCGCACAGCCCCCGTGTAACCACAGGTCTTTCCACAACGCGTGCCACGTGGGAATACAGTCCAGCATCCATCACTCACCTTAAAGCCTCTGTCCTCGGATACTGAGATGATGATGCCTGCTTGCCAGGGACAGAACTCCGCCGCAGTCACCGGGCCCAGGTGGCCCTGCAGCTTGGCCAGGACAGCCTGAGTCTGAGAGAATGTGTGCAGAAGGTCGGGGATGGAACTTTGTGGTGGTGATTAACATCAGGACGTTCTATGGATGTCACAGAACATGGCTGCTATTAAAATAAGGCCCATATTATTCCTCTTTTCAAGTTGGAACTGTGTACATAAAACAAGAGTGAAGACTCAGATGTCGGAGCCAAGAGGAAAGCTTCGTCCATAGGCACAGTCTTGTCAGTGTTAACAGACGGCACTGACCAGAGCTGACCCTGAGCGAATTAGGAAGTGGCATCTCCTCAGGACTCCTGTCTCCACACCGTCTGCCCCATGCACCCACCCTGAGGCTCCCTGCCTGTACCTCAAAATGTACTGCCCTGTGTTCCCAACCCCTCAGCGTCTATTCTCCACCTGGGATTTCCTAAAACAAGACAAGATGGTGTGGCAGTAGATGCTCATGAGTTACCCTTTCCTCCTCAAGTCCCTAAACCTCCTACAGCCAAGACAGCACCCAGGAAGCCACTGTCACAGCTAGAGACCCACAGGGCTTCATGTTCATATGGAAATCGGGCTTGAAGAGCAAGAACTCAGAGGAAACAAAGTCCTCCTTCGTGTTCCCTTAGATTCCACTTCCTGATTTCTACCACTGCTTTCTAAAATTGCAAAGGGGACAGCTGACTATTCTAGCCACACACGAAGTACAAATCAAACAGGCAGGGAGAGGTGACACATTTCCTTAAACTAATCCTGGTGATGAGATGGTTGCAAAAAGTCTGATTCTTGATAAAAAGAAAATTTTGATAAAAGCAAAAGTGCTATGCTAGGAAGGATGCTTATAATCAGGGAATATCTGAGAAATGAAAGTTTTGCAGAATGTGTTTTCTTAAGTCATGCCTGATACGCAGATTCCATGGGGAGTTTTAATGTTTATATAAATGTTACTATCTGATACCAGTGGTTTTCCAATTGCAAAATAAAGATGATTTTATAAAAGTAAACTAAATTTAACATATAGCTTTAAAAAAAAGGAGTACAGAAAAAAAAGAGAGTTGGGCAGGGTCCCAGAACCCAGGCAGCCCCATCAGCTATACCCTTCTGTGAAATCCAGATGTGAAGTTCAATCTTACCTCGATATCCAGTGTGAATATTTTGTTTCCAGCACACACGGCAACAAATCGATCATCCAGGCTCAACTGTAAACACAGCACCTTTCCCAAAAGTGAGCCCATGATAGTCCCTCGCGGGACCAGCCCTAGAGTGAGTTTCACCATTAGTGCCCATTCACCAAATGCATTCAGCGTTGCATTAATCTGAGGAAAGTACTAAGAATGTAACCCTCTATTCTAAAATTACTGAGAGAATGACAATGAGCTTTGATGTGGTTTTGATTCTTTAAGTATATCAAATATACTGAATAAACAGAAGTCCGAAAACCTGGGAAATGCAGCACTTCCCTGCAGAGAATCCCTCAGCATCAAAACAGGAAGACCTTTCCTGGAGGCTGCAGTGAGAGTCATGCACATCAAACTGCATGTTTTGATGCTTCTCACCCACATCCAGCCCCATGTGCACCCTCATGTCCAGGCTCAGCCAACATCAGTTGGAAGGAAGGCAGTAGGAGCTAGTCCAACCCAGGCCTCCAGGGACTAAGCAATGTCAGGACACCTACAAGCAGCCAGGAGGTTGCCGAGACCCAAACAACATGTGCGGCAGCTGCAGCCTGATGCAGGGCCTGTCCTCCAAACCCGCAGAGATGAAGAAAAAAATGGTGGGCAAGGTTATCTGGTCTTGGTGTGCACCATGGACCTATCACCAACAAAATACAGATATACTCCCCTCAGAGCCTGTGAGAGACACACGGCTCATGTCCCATAGCCACCAAGTCTAGAGAGAGACATGCTCAGGTCCTACCACCATCAAGTCTAGAGAGAGACACGCTCAGGTCCTACCACCACCAAGTCTAGAGAGAGACATGCTCAGGTCCCACCACCATCAAGTCTAGAGAGAGACACGCTCAGGTCCCACCGCCACCAAGTCTAGAGAGAGACACGCTCAGGTCCCACCACCACCAAGTCTAGAGAGAGAGACATGCTCAGGTCCCACCACCATCAAGTCTAGAGAGAGACACGCTCAGGTCCCACCACCACCAAGTCTAGAGAGAGACACGCTCAGGTCCCACCACCACCAAGTCTAGAGAGAGACACGCTCAGGTCCCACAGCCACAAAGTCTAGAGAGACACATACTCACATCCCACAGCCACCAAGTCTAGAGAGAGACATGCTCAGGTCCCACCACCACCAAGTCTAGAGAGACACACGCTCAGGTCCCACAGCCACCAAGTCTAGAGAGACACACACTCAGGTCCCACAGCCACCAAGTCTAGAGAGACACACACTCAGGTCCCACAGCCACCAAGTCTAGAGAGACACACACGTGCTCAGGTCCCACAGCCACCAAGTCTAGAGAGACACACACGTGCTCATATCCCACAGCCACCAAGTCTAGAGAGAGACACGCTCAGGTCCCACAGCCACCAAGTCTAAAGAGAGAGACACAAGTGCTATATCCCTATATAGACTACATAGATTTAGAGTCACTTTTCATCTGTGTTTTAATGCAATCCTCTAACTTCTCTATATAATTGTACAAAACTCGAATTCCTTAATGTGGTACCTACCTAACTTTTTGACTTTCTCAGATAAGACTCTCCTAACATCAGCATGCTCCAAGAACACAAGCAGGTTCTCACTTTTCCTTCCCAGGGCCTTGGCAAAGTCAGGTCCATCTGCCAAAAGCATAGGCCCCTATCCCATCCCTACACATCCTCAGCCCACAGGCTCCTCCCTGAGGTCCTGCTTCTCAAAGTGCTTCCATGCACGTGCGTGCTGCCCTGTCCTCATCTGCCTTCTCTGCTGCACATCCACAATTCATAGCCACGCAGTCACCGGCTTCCACAGCAGCGTCTGTCTGTCTCAAACTCTGAGCTGTGACTTCCACAGGATTTGGGACCAAGCCCTTCCTATTCAACATTGTGTTTCCAGCCTAAATAATTATAGGTGCTCAAGAAACCATGCTGTGCAAGAACAGAATATTTCAACTTGCCTACATGTTTTCAGGTTGACACAAAATTGACAGTTTTTGAAATAAGAAGTGACGTAAGATCAAAACCAGTGAGCCTCCAAGATCAGCATAACACACAACAAAGGTCAGTGAGTCTGCACGGTCTGGTCTCCTCGCCATATAAAGCACCCTGCTTGCATGCCTGGGTTCAAGGTAAAGGGAATACAAAATTACCCTATATCCCCCCGAGGGATTGGGAATTACCCAAGGGAAACACTCCTTGGGTAGTACCAAGTATACTGAAGGATGAGTTATTCTGTTTGTAGGTTTTTAAAAACATGTTTTAGATTTTCATTTACCTTGAAGTACTTTCTTTCTACATTCATCCAGGTTCCACATTATAACATAATCCAGTGATGCTGAGCAGATTAGAAGTGGATTCACTTTATTTCCAAAAGCCATAGCAGTAATTGGCTGATGGTGTTCTCGTAGGATTAGAAGCTGAGAAAGTTAACAAAAATAAAAAATAACACATACAATAAACAACATTTAAAAATAAAAGAGTATAACAACATAACCTCAAACCTAATAAATTAAAAGATTTTTTTCAAATACATTTATTTTACATATTCATTGTTAATTCATTTGTTAAAATTCCTGCTATGTACTACTAAATTATTCTCTCAAGTTAACCATTTCACTGCTATTTACTGTCACACATACTAATAAAATGATACAGGTTACCTCGTTCTTCCATTTCTTTATTACTTATTAGTTAACCAAATATAGAACATGTCTCCACTACCACATCAGAAGAGGTAACAGCTGAGCTAAAAACTGAGGAATAAGGAGAAGAATGAGGAATTGACAAGAGGAGGGGGACATTGAGGTCCGTGGAAAGACAAGGCATGGGTAAGAAACTGCTGGGACAAGCAAAGGAGTGAGAGGAGGCTGGAGAAAGGTGAGGCCCAGGTGTGGGGACCTTGGCAATTACACTCTCTAGGGAATTAAAATCCAGCAAAAAACGTGCTGTCAGAATAATATAATGACCAGATTTGTTTTCCAGGAACATAACATTGCTACAAGTATGGAGGAGATGAGTGTTGGGGGTACACTGGGCTAGAGAGACAGATGGGAATGCATGAGAACGCTCAAGGAAAATCCAGCAAAGACATGGACTAGGATAGTAACAATGAGGATGGAGAGAAGATGATGACTGAAGACTCCGTGACCAATGGATATGGAGGGATGGAGGGAAAAACAAAAGCAAAGTGAATCAGGGTTTGAGGTTAAAATCTTGGGGGAATGATGTCTCAAGAACAAAAAACAAAGGGAAAATGGGATAGGACTGGGGTAAATCATGGTCCATTTGGTCCATGGTAAGTTGAGATGCTGACAGGGTGATGTTAGACAATAGGCAGTTTGACATGAGAGATATCACTAGAGAATTCCACTTCTAATAAAGACAGGCTACATCACCTCATCTGTACCAACCCTACTGATGAGAAGGACAAAAACTGGACAAAGTTTGTAAAAATATATATGTATGTATATATATACACACACATATATACATACAGAGAGAGACACACATTTTGAAGATATCAGAAAGCAAACCAATTCACTGAAGAATTATGATAATGCGATTATAGGGAAGAAAAAAAACTGAGGGAAGTCACTCCAGTTATCTGGGGTCACTTGTCTCATAAAGACATCTACTAACGACATCTTCTGACAATTCCAGTAAAGGCAGCTGAGAAGCTGAGATTCAAGGGGCTAAGGGCACAAAAATGGTGTAATCAAATGAATCATCTTCTGGGGCACAAAAAGAACTACCATATTGGGAGAAAGGCAAAGATTTCTGTCACCTTACCCTTAATGTTGAGAACTCTACAATTTTTTCCTGTAAAGAAATATGAATGGGTTTTAGTAAATGTCTACCTAGAATACAATCTCCCAAGATAAGAGGAAAGGGCATGCTGCTAAAACTGCTAGGCTTACAATGGGAACCCCAAGAAAGACAAAATCTAAGGAGTAAAGATAAACTGTAAATAAAACAGCCCTCACAAGAACTGAAACCCAGCTATGAATTGTCTTAATACCTGACTGGCTTAGGGTAATCCTGGATTGCCAGAGCCCTAAGCATGCCTGATTTGGAAGAATGTAAGGTAATCCAGAGTATCAAATCAGCTATACTTTTTTTTCATATACAAAGTCCAGTAATCTAAAAAATAACCAGGTATTCAAGGAGACAAGACCATTTAGTCAAAAGCAAAGAAAAATGAAGAACAGAGAAATGCAATGCCACAAGTCATCCAGATAGACTTGAAACCAAACTAAAACTGATCCAAATGTTAGAATTATTAGACAAGAACATTCAAACCATTATTAAGACTTTTTCCATATGTTCAAAAGTTAAATAGAGGCATAGAAGATATTTAAAAGACCCAAATCTAACTTCCGGAGATAAAACTAGAATTAGATAAAATTTGGACCAAAAAAACACTTAGTGGGATTGATAGCATATTAGATGTTGCAGAGGAAAAGACTGGTAAATTTAAGGACAAACCAATAGAAACTATGCAAAAATGAAAGAGAAAAAAAGTATATTCACAAACATGAAAGCATATCAGTGAGCTGTGGCAAACTTCACGTGACCTGACATGTATGTGTAAGCATCATCCACAAAGTTCGGGCAGAAGGGAATGTTTGAAGAAATAATGGCTGAAAATTTTCCAAATTTGATGAAAACCATAAACCCATAGAACCTCAATGATAAAATTTGGATGCCCCTCCAAATCCCATGTTGAGATGTAATCCCTGGTGTTGGAAGTAGGGCCTACTGGGAAGTGTTTGGGTCACGGTGCAGATCCCTCATAGCTTGGTGCCATCTTCACCATAGTGAGTTCTCACAAGATCTTGTCATTTAAAAGGGTGTGGTACTTCCCCCCACCCCTTGCTCCTTTTGCTGTATGACATGCGTATTTCTCCTTTGCCTTCTGCCATGATTGTAACGTTCCTGAGGCCCTCACCAGAGCCAAATATTTGTTGGTGCCATGCTTGTTTCAACAAAAAGAGTTGAACTCTGTAAAATATTTTAAAAGATTCTGAGCCAAATATGAGTGACTATGGCCCATGACACAGCCCTCAGGAGGTTCTGAGAACATATGTCCAAGGTAGTCGGCGTACAGCTTGGTTTTATGTACTTTAGAGAGGCATGAGACATCAATCAAATACACTTAAGAAATACACTGGTTTCTTTCAGAAAGGCGAGACAACTCAAAAGCTGGGGCTTCCAGTCTACGGGTAAACTTAAATATTTTCTGGTTGTCAACGGATTGAGAGTTTATCTGAAAACCTGGAATCAAATAAAATGTTCAGTTTGAGATAAAGGATTGTGGATACCATGTTTTATTGTGCAGAAGAAGCTCTCAGATAGCAGACTTCAGAGAGAGCAGGCTGTAAAATTTTTCTTATTGGACTTAAAAGGGTGCCTGGCTCCTAGACCTGGAAAGAAAGGAAGGAAAACAAACAGGAAAGGGGATTCTCTATAGAATGTGGATTTTTCCCACAAGAAACTTTGCAAGACAACTTCAAGGGATGGCAAGGAAATATATTTTGGGGTTTTCTTTGTCTCATCATGTTATGCCAGAGTCAGACTGAAAAGTAAGTCATGATATATAGGTTCAAATAAAACCCATCTGATGAGAATTTGTGGTTTGTAGGGCATGACTCCTTAAACCCCTATGGTAGGAATTTGGGCTAGATAAAAAATCAGAGTTTAGTCCTCACTTGTACAGCCTGCAGAACCACAAGCCAATTCACTCTCATTTCTTTATAAATTACCCAGTCTCAGGTATTTCTTTATACCTGAGGACTAAACTCTGACCTTTTCCTTCTCTTACCCAAATTCCTATCTAAGGGGCTTAAGGATACAAAGCATAAAGTCTCATCAGAGGGGTTTTATTTAACCCTATATAATGTGGCTCACTGTCCAACCTAACTCAGCCATAACATCACATGACAGATAAAGAAGGGAATTAAAATATGTTTAACTCCAATTATGTTTCTTTATCATATCTTGATAGGCCTGCAAAGCTGTCTCTTATTGGGGGAAAATCTGTATTTGTAGAGGATCCCCTTCCTTTTGTAGGCCTTTTTTCTGGAATCTTAGTGGATTCCAGGAAAGAATCCAGAACAAGACTCTGGCGCTAAAATATTTACAATCTATTCTCTCTGCAGCCTGCTGCTACCTGGAGGCTTCTTATGTATATTGGGGAACTTGGTCTTCACAATCCCTTATTTTAACCTAGACATTCCTTCTATTGAGTCTAGGCCTTTGGACAATAACTCTTTCAACCAATTGCAATTTAGAAAATTATTAAATCCACCTATGACCTGGAAGCCCCCACTTTGAATTGTCCCACCTTTCTGGACCTAACCAGTGTACATATTACATGTACTGACTGATGTCTTATGTCTCCCTAATTGTATAAATCCAAGCTGTGGCCTGACTAGGCACATTAGGCACATACATGTTCTCAGGACCTCTTGAGACTGTGCTTCAGGCCACTGGTCACTTGTATTTGACTCAGAATAAGTATCTTCAAATATTTCACAAAGTTTAACTCTCATCAACAGAACAATTCGTGAAAGGCCTAATACAGAAAATTGGTACCAAGGAGTGGGGCATTGCTATAAAGAATCCTAAAAATGCAGAAGTGGCTTTGGAACTGGTTACCAGCAGAAGTCAGAATAGTTTGGAGGGCTCAGAAGAAAAGCAGATGATGGAAAGTCTGGAACTTCTCAGAGACCAGTTAAATGGTTATGACCAAAACACAGATAGTGATAAGGACAGTGAAGTACGGGCTGAGGAAGTCTCAGATTTAACTGAACTTACTGTGAACTAGAGAAAAGGTCACTCTTGTTATGCCATAGCCAAGAGTTTGGCTGCATTCTGTTCATGCCCTACGGCTCTGTGGAAGATTAAACTTGAGAATGATGGCCTAGAGACCTGATGGAAGACATTTCTAAGCAGCAAAGCATTTAAGATGTCTCCTGGCTACTTCTAACAACCTACAATCATATATGGAAGCAAAGAAATGATGTAAAGTTGGAATTTACATTTAAAAGGGAAGCAGAGCATAAAACTTCAGAAAATTTGCAGCCCAGCCACGTGGCAAAAAGAAACAGTGTTTTTGTGAGAGGAATTGAAGCAGGCAGTGGAGTAACCATTTACTAAAGATACTTGTGTAACTGAAAAAAAGAACCAAATGCTGATAGTCAAGACAATGAGAAAAAGGCCTCCAAGATATTCCAGAAATCTCCAAGGCAGTCCCTCCCATTACAGGCCCTGAAGAGGAGGAAAGAATGGTTTTGAGGGCTAGGACCTGCTACCCTACACAGCCTCACGACACTGCTCCCCTCTCCAGCTCCAGCCTCAGCTCAGAGGACCCCAGATACAGCTTGGGCTGCTGTTTCAGAGGGTGCAAGACACAAAC